CGTCATTTGCAAATACCTGTAAGTTACTTCATGACACTTAGATTGGTCAGCTTTGTTGACAAACTAGTGTATATTTTTTTGTCAAGGGCATGCTTTTATAGTCAGTCTCAGACAGAAAAGCTGGACAGCACTGTACTATCAGCCTTTGCTGTCCGAGCTGATAGATTCTCCAAAAGAGGCATTCTCACACCACGCTAATGCTTGTCGCATTTCATCATAGTGGGTAGCGTTGCGTTACATATTCAAACCGTTCCAGAACACAATAGAAAAAACTGTTTTACAAAATTTCTACGGACAACCAGATGGCTCAAGCGAGTTCAAACTTGTACTGAACGCGAATCACCTGTCTCCCTTCCAAGCCCGACCCTCCAGTGTTGCCCGATCGAACGCTACGTTGCCAGTCTAATCAATTAATTTGCAGAACTCGTACTTGTTACCCAATCAAATACGGCTTTACGTCATCTTTTCTCGTCCATTCTCGTTCTATGTCCATACCAAATTAATTATTGCTATTATATATTAAAGCGTCAATAAGTATCTTATCAATAGCCATTCTCCTTCTTACATCAGCCAACAGCTTCTTTAAAAACCGATCTACACTGTATTCATTTTCCTAATATCTTTGTTTATTGACCTTATCTTTGCCTCATGTCATATGCCATGCATACCGTTCCAGAACACGATAGAAAAAACTGTTTTACAAAATTTCTACGGACAACCAGATGGCTCAAGCGAGTTCAAACTTGTACTGAACGCGAATCACCTGTCTCTCTTCCAAGCCCGACCCTCCAGTGTTGCCAGATCGAACGCTACGTTGCCAGTCTCATCAATTAATTTGCAGAACTCGTACTTGGTACCCAATCAAATACGGCTTTACGTCATCTTTTCTCGTCCATTCTCATTCTATGTCCATACCAAATTAATTATTGCTATTATATTATATTATAGCGTCAATAAGTGTCTTATCAACAGCCATTCTCCTTCTTAAATCAGCCGACAGTTTCTCTAAAAACCGATCTACACTGTATTCATTTTCCTTATATCTTTGTTTATTGACCTTATCTTTGCATCATGTTACACAACTTTCTTCTTGCGATTCAGTCTTATTGTTGTTCATTCTGATATCTGTTCCATCGTAGATAGAATGTAATTTTCTGGTGTTAGCCAAACCAAAACTTGCGTACATTATTTATTACCGGGTTTTCCAATGACTGGCAACCGAATTCTTTTTAAAATTCCTCTACCCAGAATCAATTTTGCTCGAGAATGTGTGGTTTCGTTTTCTTCAATATTATACTTTCTGTGGCGTCGTTATCAGGACATCCGTCATTGCAACGTGTATTTGTGCAAGCTGATATAAGGAAAATTCCCACTATGTACAGTATAATTAAAAAATGGATTCTCATTGAACAGAGATAATAACGAGGTTCAGGTGGTTTTTAAACCATAAAAGGATATGAACTTTCGACTGTACGGAAGTAACGTTTTGATAGCGTATATTTACATTTATTGCAACATTCATGAATGAATTCACGTTTTTCTCGGAACCGGCCTACTAATAAATATACTGTTAAAGGCTATTTTGAGCGAACAAGAGGTGTATAATGACTGAATGAATATTCAGATGATTTTTTTTAATATTACAATCCATATTCGCATCTGCTCGGAAAAATATTATGATTCGGCTTTTTGCAACAAAGTGCATGTCGCCAGTCACTAGACTTCGGCAAAAATCGCATTTTGGTCAGTTTTATAGGTTTTTCGGGTCATTTTTAACAAAAAAAGTTCTCATGAACTATTCTCTAAAGTTGATAATTTTAAAGATATAAGCAATTTAATATTCGAAAAAGCGCGAAATATGCCATTTTCTGTCCGAAAAACAATACGAAAAAATCACGTTAAGTAGGTTGACTGATTATCGGCACAAATTAGCATTCAGAGAAAAGAGTTCGCTACGAACATGTATAACCTTACTCCTCCCCTGAGAGAAATTGCTGCGGACGCCTATGATCGTTGCTATGACTAATCCCGCGTGGATGACGATATTGACTTTTACAGCACACAGCCCACAGCAGCACGCATTGACACGCCACTGATGGAGATATTTATTTAAGGGTAAAGGATGTATGATCAGTGAAATATGACTGATAGCGTACACGTAGCCAAAGGGGGGTAGAGGGGGTAAGTACCCCCCAGGCTCATGGATGAAGCTGGTTCCAAAAAGCGATTGTTTTTTTGGATGTCTATGATCGTTGCTATGACGATATTGACTTTTGCAGCACACAGCAGCAGGTATTAACACGCCACTGTTGGAGATATTTATTTAAGGGTAAAGGATGTATGATGAGTGAATTATGACTGATAGCGTACGCGTAGCCGAAGGGGGGTAGAGGGGGTAAGTACCCCTCAGACTCATGGCTGAAGCTGGTTCCAAAAAGCGATTGTTTTTTTGGACGTATATGATCGTTGCTATGACTAATCCCGCGTGGATGACGATATTGACTTTTACAGCCCACAGCAGCAGGTATTGACACGCCACTGTTGGAGATATTTATTTAAGGGTAAAGGATGTATGATGAGTGAAGGATGACTGATAGCGTACGCGTAGCCAAAAGGGGTAAGTACCACTCAGACTCATGCCTGAAGCTGGTTCCAAAAAGCGATTATTTTTTTGGACGTCTATGATCGTTGCTATGACTAATCCCGCGTGGATGACGATATTGACTTTTGCAGCACACAGCCTACAGCAGCACGTATTAACACGCCACTGATGGAGATATTTATTTGAGGGTAAAGGATGTATGATGAGTGAATTATGACTGATGGCGTACGCGTAGCCGAAGGGGGGTAGAGGGGGTAAGTACCCCTCAGACTCATAGCTGAAGCTGGTTCCAAAAGCGATTGTTTTTTTGGACGTCTATGATCGTTGCTATGACTAATCCCGCGTGGGTGACGATATTGACTTTTACAGCACACAGCCCACAGCAGCACGTATTGACACGCCGCTGTTGGACATATTTATTTAAGGGTAAACGATGTATGATGAGTGAATTATGACTGACAGCATACTCGTAGCCATAGGGGGGTAGAGGGGGTAAGTACCCCCCAGACTCATGGCTGAAGCTGGTTCCGACAAGCGATTGTTTTTTTGGACGTCTATGATCGTTGCTATGACTAATCCCGCGTGGATGACGATATTAACTTTTACAGCACACGGAATATAGCAGCACGTATTAACACGCCACTGTTGGAGATGTTTATTTATGGGTAAAGGATGTATGATGAGTGAAGTATGACTGATAGCGTACGCGTAGCCAAAGGGGGGTAGAGGGGGTAAGTACACCCCAGGCTCATGGCTGAAGCTGGTTCCAAAAATCGATTGTTTTTTGGAGAGCGGATTTTTGTTTTGGATATTAGTGAATTCTGAATTCTAAATAATAGTTTATATAACTTCTTGATCGCAACTGTCAATTTTATCATTATTTGCCCTTTGATTTCACCTCTGCACTGTGACTATATGCGATATGAGTGAAAACTATTTCATCAGATTTGTACGAGATGGAGGAGTCCGCTTGATGTCAGGTGTGTTTCAGTTCTTTGTTCTCTTGCACCAGAGGTGACGCTCGTATTACCTTGTTACGCACAAATAATGGCGCCAAAAGCCGCAGAAGCTTAACCTTACTTTGTAGCAGTCATCGACAACACGCAGTGTTGCCAATCGCCCGAAAAAGTTTCGACTTGCGGAACTTTTTGGATCGTGGACGAACTTCTTCGCAACCTAAATTTTAGAGGAGCTTTTCGAAAAGGACGGTTTATTTTCGGAATTTTTAACAAAATTTGATCATTTTCTAATTTCAATACTCTGACAGGGAACACTTTCGATTTGGAACTAAAACAGTTCAATACCTGAAAATTCGCCCTGTCTTCCTTTGTGTCAGGTTAAACTACTGAGATGGAAAATTATATTAATTGGATATTAGCAATGTCAAGATTTCAAACATCCAAGTAGTCTTGACATTACTTGATAATTTTTGTAATAGTCAGCGCAGCCCTAGAAAATTTACATTCAATGAACGTTGCAGGTGTCACCATTAAAACTAGATTTGGGAATACATTTTCATGTTTTTTGCACCACTCATCATTATTTACGGTTCATCGGTAATACAAATAAATATCACTGAAGGTCTTTAGTAGAACAAAAATATAATTTGTCAAGTAGAACCATCATGTCAAATGAAGCATTAACGTTTCTAAAAGAACATCAAACTACTTGATTTGTTGAATCTCTAAACCTATATGCATGGTGTTCGAAAAATAGGCGGAGATATTTTAGAGGGTGATTCTTCGTTAAAAAATATGAAAAAGTTTCTGTAAACAAAAAAAAATTATCAATATCTTGAAAAATATTCACTCGAATCGGTTGATATTTGACAATTTTATTTGTTAATTTAGCCCAACATCGATTAAAATTATTAGGTCCAGTGGAGTACCGGGGGGCACCTTAGCGAATATTATTGGCAAAAAAATGTACGCCACTGCCTTTTTTGTAACATGAATATTTATTGTTTGATTAAGCATCTAAAAATACAGCTTCTTTGCTTCTTGTACTTTTTGCGTGTCTCACTACATTTTTGAGAAAAATAAAATAATAATTTTATTGCGTGTTACTGGAAACAATTGGTTTATTAATTTTTGCTAAAAAAATGTTTTTCAATTTATCACTGTATCTTGGTAACTCTAAATTTCCCGACCCATGTTTATGGAGACTTTTTTAATATTTTTTAACCTGGAGTCACACTCTAAAATATCTCCTGTATTTTCCGAGCACCCTGTATAATATGTCATCAAGTATCCAGTAGTTTGAAAATACTTGACCTCAAATCAAGTAGAACAATAGAAAAATCAAATCAAGCCAAGCACTAACATTTCTAAAACCATCAAATTACTTGACCTGTGAATTCCTAATCCTGCATATAAATTCCTCATTCATTCTTACTCACCAAGGTAGTTCCACTGATCGTAACAGCACGGCTGGTACGCCGGGATATCGTATCCCAACGCCAACATCTCCCTTTCTTCCTTGGTAACGGCTTCCGTAAGGGCGCGGATAGACGCGGCGTCATCCATACGCGCGGCAAGATGCAGCGGACTGTCGCCGTGTTTGTCGCGCGGACACGGCCGCGCACCGGCCACCCTCAGCCACCTGGCTATGCGCCATTGCCCCGTTTCGACGGCCAAATGCAGAGGCGTCTGCGCGAAGTCGTTAGGGGTGTCCAACAGGCGCGGATGCGGCGCGATTCGGATTAAGGCCAGCGCTACTTCCGGGAAGCCGTCAGCGATTGCCATGTGAAGGTATCTGGAACAAAAGAAACACTTTTTAGAGCATTTTGTTTTAGTCTACCGAAATATATTCAATCTCACGTCCCTTTTTTTCCCAACTACCTATTTGCAATAGTTATTCTAAATCCTTTTCATCTGATTACTTCATGATGTGTGATGACTAAATACCATCGTTCTTAATTTTGTTTTGTCATAAAATGCATTTGTTGTGCATTTTATTGAATAGTATTTCTTCGATCCTAACTTGTTAACACATATTAGTGCAGCTCTGAAATTGTATGTGACTATTCCACTTTTAGGAATGAATGAAACAAGTGATTACTTTTATTCTTATCACTTCTTCTCTTCAGATAATCTTTGCTTGCCTTGAAAACTTGACTTGCTATTAGACGAGGTTTCAAGAAAATCAAAGACTGTTCAAAAAGGAAAAATGATCAGAACAAAAGTAATCACTTGTTTCATTCTTCCATAAAAGAGAATATTCACAGACAAATTTCAGAGCTGTACTTATATTTGTTAACAAGTTCCGATTGAAGAAAGAATGCACAATAAAAGGCAAAATAATGCATTTTTTTGAAAGTCATCTCTATACACACCATGAAATTATCAAATGATAAGGATTTAGAATACTGCTGCAAACAGTTGTTGAAAAAAAATCTAAAAAAGGAACATGCCACCTTAAAGTCGTGCCTCAATGCTTACTACTATACCTGGTGTTTCAAATTCGAGCTTCACCATTGGGATTTTGGAAAGGGTAAGAGATAGGAAGTCGCTTAAATGGGGGCAAAGTTTCGTATTTAGGTAAATAACAAAATTCTGCTCGATAAGTTCCAAAATTCAAAGTACTTACGATAAAAAAATCTTAGGATAGTTTTAATTTTTTCCAGATTTCATTTGCACTTGGATTTCAAAGTAAATTGCACATTAACATTGCCATTTTTTCGCCTCTACAAGTCGGTGTAATCGGAATTTCAATATAATATTGTTCTCCAACATCAACTTTATTTTTTTAAGAACGCCATATTGAATTTTTTGCACAGATGAATAGAGTTATTAGTTATGATTCCAAAAATTTAATCTGATAGTCATTTGTTTTGTTTAACATATTAATCGCAAAATCATCTCCCTTTTTCCCACGACTTTATTTGATCTGGGATTTCAAGATAAATTGCATGTCAGCCTGTTCAAATTTTCAATCCAAGGTTTCTTCTTTCAAATAACAAAGAAACTTCCTATAAACATCTAATATGTCTCATTACCAATATACAGGGTGTTGTAATTTTCTATAACACTGATAAGTCTGAATGAGGATAAAACATGAATATCGTTCAAATACTTCTATGGTAACATAAGATTCCTCTCCTAATACACTACTTATAATTTTCAATGACAAACTTCACTAACTTTTGACTTATTTATCTCTTTGTACTTTATCAGCTACTAACCATAAAAACTTCATTGACATTACAGCATGCAACCTTAATTATTTTTTCCAAATTCATATAATCAAATAAAACTTGATAACCCGCTTTTCATTACAAATTGTTAGTTATGGGGAAAGCAATTCTAAAAACAGCAAGAACGCTTCTAAAATACTTCTTATCTCTGGTGAACAGATAGCGATAGGTCAATTTATATAGCAGGACGCACTGTTTCAATCGTTTGCTGGAGTTTAAAAGAAAGTAATCTGGCAAGGTAGAATATTACTTCATAATAATGTTTTACAAAGTACGAATGTATAAAAATCAGCCAGCAGGGAATCAACCTTTACACGTTCTCGGTTACGCTCTTTTTTTATTACAAGCTGTTTCCTTGTAGTCTCATAAATTTTGCATAATCCAAGGAATATAGTGACATAATAATGACTAATGACAGATAATGACTCATCATTCAAATATTTCAAAATCTGATGCTCAATTTTGCAATGGCAAAATGCAACATTTTTTACATTTTAACATTCATTATTTATCTAGGTGCTTTTTGTTTATATTTTACATTAAATACGAAAAAAAACACTTTTTGATATTGCAATGATTGCAATAATGATGATTTCTAATTTCTCCTGATAGTAGTAAAAACAAATATACCAAGCTCTGGTTGATCTTGAAACATTGGGACTTTCCTACTATAAATAAAGAGTGGTTCAGTGATGTATTTTAAAATTCAGGGCTTTGGATATCTTATGATTACCAACTGAGTAAATCCCCCTGGAGTGTTTTGGGTTTTAGGAATCAACAATCAAGTGTATGTCAACCAGGATACTGGAGTTTCAGACCTTTGGAGTTTGACTAAGTGAATATTGATCTTATCAATCTAGAAATTCATTTAAAATCACAACAAATGTATCAAATTGGAAGTAATAATAATCATAAATTGCCTTTATTCGATTCTTTTACATTATATATATCCAACATACAACAATAGATAAGTCACTAAAATTTTGAAAATCAAACCAGTGGAGTGTTACCATGATGGTATTTTCCAACTCAACTCTCATCTTGATATTCAGTTAATATGATATTGATCTTTTTAAATGTCTCTAAGTTAAATAAAAATATGATCAGTGTTCTGTTGCTATGCTATTGCAGAAATATATTTTTTCAATAAAAGTAGATAGAAATATCAAATATGATCAATGTATGTCAAAATTATTCAAGTATTGTGAGTGACAGAGTGGTGAGGAAGTGATTATGTATGGATTCATTTTGTACTTGGATTTTCCAATTCATTATTTGCCTCTGATATTACCACTAGCATCACTATGTTACAAACAATGTTAAGGGATTCCAAATCACTGTTAACTATATTTCCTCAATTTCATATGGCCCTGGTAGTTTTATAGGAGTCCAATCACCAGCAGAGCTTACATATATATACAGTAATGGACAAAAGTATATAGACAAATATGAATATTTACCTAAATACCTTTAGAAAATGAATTCATACTTCATTGCTCCATAAACAGATGCTGTATTAGTAGAAAAAACTTCCTTGTTTTTACATTATCTGCAATGAACACAATACGAGTCTGAATATAAGCACTTTTTTGAGGGATAGAAACATGTAGACAAATTCTTTTCAACATTAGTTCAGTACAGTTTCATGTCAGAAGAGGATTAGTAGAAGTGGTCAGCTTAGAAAACTAAATGCTAGATCAGTTGGATTAATAGAAGTAATTTCGTCCGAAGATCTGTTTAAAACACCAAGATAAGTAAGTTTCTACGAAAAATATAAGTAGAAGATTAAATGATTTGAAGTTATTTGCACGTCGACCGAGTAAGAAGCCGCTAATCTCGAGGAAACATCTCGAGAACCGATTACAATTTGCATGGTTGCATCTTGATTGGAGCATCTGTGACTGGAAGAGGGTATGTTTCAGTAACGAATCCAAGTTCAATTAGTTTGGATCAGATGGTGTTCATTACGTTAGACATACTAGTGGACAAAGATTGAACCCCAAGTACACTTTGCCCACTGTCAAACATGGAGGCGGGTCTGTTATGGTTTGGGGGTGCATTTTGGGGTTTGGAATGGGACCTTTACATAGAATAGATGGCATTATGCCTAAGATTGTATACACTGACATACTAAAGCATGTCATGTTACCCTACATGGAAGACAATATGCCCTTAAGATCAATCTTCCAGCAAGATAATGGCCCGAAGAACACTTCAAATCTCACAAAGAAATTCTTTCTGGATGAAAAAATACCAGTTCTCAAATGACCTTCACAATCTCCCAATATAAACCCCATTGAAAATCTATGCGAATACTTAGATAAGCAAATACGAGATATAAATTATTCAATGATGAACTTTTTGCTACTTTAGAGCAAAAGTGGAGACAGATTGATGAATAGTATATCAAGAAACTTCTACAATCTATGCTGAGACGATGCCAGGTGGTGATTGATAATAATGGTTATCCTACAAAATATTAAAACAAACATGGTTGGTTTTCTATAATTCAATGAACTTTGCTTCTTTTTTCTATAATTGTTTTGCTTTGTCTATATATTTTTGTCCTTCATAGTTCCAGTGTTTTTCAATTAATTTTTTATTGAAGGGAGTCTAATGAATTTATTTATGTGTAAGTGAGTATTATGCTATAACGAATTATGTATACAACAAGTTAAAAAAAATACAGCACAATATTAATTTGTCTATATATACTTTTGTCCATTACTGTACATAACTGGTGGAAGTGTTTCGGTTTTGCTCAAACTGACATTTGCTTAGGGCTGTATCATCGCTCATTCTGTCAATATTCTAGGACACGTTTATGGCCTCCTGGATTTTCATGGTCTTTTCTCTCATTGAGAAAGGCTGGGGTATTTCTAATTTCTACAGATCCATGTCAGTATCAGCCCTCTCCTAGTGTGAGGTTTTTGAATCTTAAGAAATTTCACGCTAATAAAACAGATGATAAGCAAGTTTTATCAGCCTTAAATTTCTCAGAATTCAAAAAGAAAATATAACCTCAAAATAGAGCGCGCACATGAAACAATAGAAATCTAGAAATACCGCTGCCTGAAGAACAGAAAAAAGTATGAAAATCAAGTAGGCGATACAGGCGACCTACAATAATTGTAGGAAAGACTGACGATACGGACCTTAGACAGTAGGACCACAAAAAAGTCGATTGTTTGAAGAATAATAAATAGTTAACGTTGTTGCTTTGGCACAATGACAAACATGACAAAAAATACAAAATCAACTTACGTATCACCGTCTTCATCCTGCTCAAAGTAGATTTTCCATAGCACTTCGTCGACGGTCTGTTTCGACCTGGCAACAGGTGGTTTCTGTTTGGGAGCATCCAAATTGTTCAGACTTTGCTTCTCATCACTGATACTGATTTTGGAAAAGTCTTCTGTAAGGCACACACCACTGGTCACGATCATAGGATCCGCGACGGAATCGGGAGATTCTTCGGTTATTTCTCCTGACAAGAACCCGCTATCGGTGTTCGAGGACTCGTATAGGCTTCCTTTATCGTCAAATTTCTGTTTGGACACATCTGGAACGGAATTTTTGTGTTGTGACATTTTCGATTCCCTTCTTATTCTACGCCCGCAAAATTAGGAAAGGTTGTTCGCGACGGTCATTCGTTTGTTTCGTTATTCGATTGTTTTCAGGGCCTGCTACGACACCATGGCACTCGGTTACTCGGTATCAACAAACTGAAGTTAAACTGACGACTCGTACATGGATGGGAGAAGTAACAGTACCAAAATAAAAAAAAACGAGAGGTTAGGTTATGAGATTTTCAACAAGACAGTGAAACTTGGAGTGCGGCATTGCCAGATTGGTGGCCTCATTATGGCAATCAGTGATGTAGATACTCCATATACCGGATGGGCCAAATTCGTATCTCGCACATTGAAATCTCAGAAACGGTGAGAGATTCGAAGTGGCTTTAATAAGGGCAAAGTTGCATATTTAGGTTACGGCACGGGCATCATGTAAAACAACTATAAAACGCCAAAAAAAACCTATAAGATGTCATTTTGCAAACTAGGTAGTTTTTAGGGCGCAAACAGTCATTCCACGTTTGTTCACTAGGATCTTTGTGAACGTCTATCTATGGAGAAATCACTCAACTGCACGCATTATTGGCTGCATATGTTTTGTGAGACCGAGTGGTCCTTGTCTGTAGTTTTTATCTCTGAGAAGAAAGTTGGTTGAATAGCATATCGCATCTGGGTGATTATGTTTATTGGTCTGCATGTGTATAAAATCAGTGATATTTGCTGTGTGAGAAAATCATTACTGAATATGCTTTTTATGTTGTGCTTTCTGAAGAGAGGTGTTCAAAGTTATAAATTACGGAAAACTGAGGCGAATTACGGGAAATCATCACCGCGCCCACGTTGTGAGTAATTACTGTCAGCATGTATATGGCTTGTAAAGATTGATAACAAGCCTCATGACGTTTAGGCAAGACGTACAACTAAGTGCTAAGTTAATATCTTATAGAAAAGCCTACATAATGTCAAAAAAACAGCATAATGTCAAAAAAATCGGCACAGCGTCACTTTTCAAGATACGTGATACCCGTGCCGATTTTAAAAAAAATTACATATTGACATCGCCAATTTTTCTTCTCTACAAGACGATATATAATCAGAATTTCAATATGACTTATGTTTTTTTTTAATGGACGTCATATCGTATTTTTGCATAAGTGAATAGAGTTCTTAATTCTGATTCTGAACCTTAGTTATTTCAAAAAACACAATTTTCTAGCTAGGCCTTGAAATAATCATACTCATTTGGTTCGTATGCCAGATTTATTGAAATTTTTTTATTTATTACCTGGTTTTATTTGAAATGTGATTTTAAAATTAATTGCATATTTAGGCATTACAACTTTTTCTCATCTACAAGAGGGCGTAATCAAATTCTCAAATCTTATGAAATTTTGCGCAGTCTCACAAAATGTTTGATTCTGCATTTAGTTATGAATTCAATACATTTATTTACGTCGCGACAAACTCCACATATTTAATTAAAGTAATACTATGCTTAGTACTCAAATGTACAAAAGTCCAATATATTTGGTAACGGAAGTCGAAAGAAGATCCTCGAATCAAAATTTTAACACGCTATCTTGGCTATACGAATCTACAATTTATTTCGAAATCGCATCTCATATAAAGTCAGGCAAAAATAATGATAATAATGAATTGCCGATTATCTGGGAATATGAACCAAATGACTATCTGATAATTCCAAGACCTAACTAGGAAATTCCGTTTTTTGAAATAACTAAGGTTTTGCAATCTCAGTGTATGACATATTACATATACATTTTTGGAATCAGAATTGAAAACTCCATTCACCTGCACAAAAATCCAGTATGATGTCCTTAAGAAAAAAATCAAGTTTATGCTGTAGGAGAAGAAACTAAACGTTATAACATTGCAACTCTAATCATGCCACCTTGTAGAGGAGGAAAAATGGCAATATTAATGTGCAATTTATTTTGAAATCCTACTACAAATAAAGCCAGGAAAATTTTAAGACGATTTTGGTAAAATCCGTTTTTTCCGTCTCACTTCAGAAGTATTTTATATTTCGAAACTTTCTCCTCATTTAATTGATAAATGTTCATTGGACAGAGTGCACACCAAGACAAAAATAAATGAAACGTTTCATCGAACAGAAATTTTATTTGAAAATTTTTATCCTTCCTCAATAACAAATATTTCTTTTTTCGACGCGTGTTGTCTGTCGATGCAATACGCAGAACCATCTAGTATCTAGTAGTAAAACTAATATAATAATAACAGTAATTGACATATATAGGTAAGCGTTAATTCGGAGCGCAGCTGACGGTCGGTCGGTTAAGTTGTACTTGTCTTGTAGACTTCATTCAAGTTAGAGGAGTATTGATCCCAACAATTAAACATTTTCCCACAAGCTTATTTTAAAATCCCATTAAATCTAAAAAACCCTAGCTATAAAAGTAAAAAAATTAAATTAATTTATACAATTTCAGTTCACATATTTTGTTGCTTAAATAAACAATAAAATTGAATTTTTAAAATTCCTTTAAACAATTCATCTTCATTTATCCACTTTTTGTGTACTTTTGAGTATAATTAATGTTTTATCAACTTTCTGCTTTTTCCTCAATGTTTCCAGTAACATTCACATACAATTATTCTAAAGTAATAAAAGTAACAGCTGTAAGCACACTGGAGACTGTGTAGTTCGTGAATTCAAAATGGAGAATGGAGGGCCTTGATTTTACATAAGCTAGAAGCCAAACATTCTGAGTTAAGAAATTGTATTTTTACTCTCTAACAGAATACAATAAAAAATTGTATTCCCTATAAAATCTCCTTTTTGGATTTTTCTTCCTGAATTTAGGGAAAACCCCTACGTTGGCATTACTGGGGGGGAAGCCATCCGATTCGTGGGATCAATTCCGTAGCGTAGTTTCTGTAATTGCGATCTGTCAGTCTTATGACCGTGAATTTAACATTAAAAGCTTGCACATTAATCAAATCCAAGCGAATAACCAAAATTTCTGTGTTATGTGCCGCGGTTATAATATGGTTCAAGATGACACACGGGTTGATGACGTCAGTTACACGAATCGCTTGAACGCGTTGGTGTTAACCGCGGTTTTGTTGCAAGTTGTTTATTTTAGAAAAGCGCGTATATAATCTCTGATTATTTCTATTATCACTTAATAATCGGTGCTTTTTCGTCTACAACTGTATATCGAAAGTTTAAATAAGAAACCTTTCATAATATTCATGGGAGAAAGGTTTTTTCAGATTTTTTTTAATGATGGAACCATGGCTTTGTAGCTATGATAACTTTCAATTCTCTAAATTTTTCCGCATGTCAAAGAAAATATTTATTGATTCAGCAGAAATGATGAAAAAAGAAATTAGTAAAACCATATACAGGTGGATATCATCTAGTGAGTTTATATGGCCATATTTTAATATTCTTGTGGTATATGGCTACACAGGATACTTTGTTAAGCATAGAAACTACATTTAAAGTGTCCCCAACAACCGTAATGAGTATAACTAATAAGGTGCTCCACTTTATGGTAAAACTGAAGTCAGCCTGTATCATTTTTCTCAAAAAGGAAGCTGAAGTACAATAACAATATCTAATACCCGGCAAAATTCTAACTTGTCACATTTCAAATAATAACCAGAAATATAAAACTACTCTTGAGTTGGGTAAATACCACAATTTTGCGGTGATAACTATGACATATAACAGCTGATTCGTGACGCCACGGATCTTATAACCAAACTGGTAACTACACTCGCTTGAACGGATTGGTAAATACCAACCCAAAATGGTAAATACCATTTCCATTTGGTTATCCGCTTGAATTTAATTTATGTGTTTGTTTTAATTCTGACTTCTCATTCCTGTTATGTATAATTACATTGAGATAGAAGAAACGTTTTTTTAAATAAGAGAAGGATAACGGAAAGGAACACCGAAAATTGCATTACCTGACTACAATGCTATCATTTAAAAAAAATTATATGCAGTCCCCGCAATAAATAAGCGCTGAACAGCACAATATCTTTATGATAATAATATATAATATATTTTTAAAAAATACTAGACCATTTGAAAGCATTAGGCCTCGAAGTTTATATAATATAAAAGATTCTTTTTATTTTTTTTTTCACAGTAGGTACTACAGATACGCAAAAATTGATCTAGAGGTGAAAAATCTCAGAACGTCGCTTGGATTTGATTTTTGATATTATTGATGCGTACTAAGTTTAAGGTGTGTCAAAGCTAACTTTGGACAGGTTGAAATTAAAAAAACAATATTCATTTTCTGATTTTTTGACATTCTCAACGTTTATATTGGCTGTTAATAAGATGCTTATCGAGTCAATTTTGAAGAGATTCGGTTATACCTTATTTACAAGATACAGTTTGCCGAACTTTATTGAAAACCCGTTTTCTGGTAATTAAAATGCTAATGCCGATTATGTTAAAATCTCTTGGAATTTAGATGTAATGAACTGATTTCTGAAATTTTAATCGAAATTAGGTGACAATAATATGCAACCATACAAAGAATTTAACGAATTTAAATCTGGCGATCTAAATAAATAATAATTGTCAGTTTGAAATTCCAGCTGTGCCTAACCTCAAACGGACTAATGTTTTCTGTTTCCTCTGATACATGTTTATTTTTATACGACACGGGTCAAGAACAGATATTTCTGCCAGACATCCGCTATAAGTGACCCTTCGAATAGGCTTACAAAAATATAAAGAAAATAAAACAGAGCATTACCGGACCTGTGCTTTATAAAATGTTTCCTTAAAATCGCCCAAGAAATCACACACTTAATTAACACCTTCGATTATTGGATTCTGTAAAACATTAAAAACATGTGATTTGATTCAGGCTTTCAGTTTATATCAGTCGGAAGTTCTTCAATCTTGCCCAACTGTTCAACATTTATACTTTTTATGATTGATTTTCTTGAGACACCCTGTAAAGTTGAGTTTGTTACAAAATCTGCGTAACTTTTGAAAGTCTGGCAACGTCGCTGACGTAACAGCGATCGTCTCGTGCTCTTTCGGGATTTCCTTGACATGCGCACTACGAAACAAATCAGTGACGTATCACGCCAGACAGCTTTTTAGAAAGTCCAAATTTGGAGAGATCAGGGATGGTTCATCAAGAGGCTTCGCAGGGGTATTGTTTTCTTCGGTGAAATTTCCAGCGGTTGGATAACAATTAACAATCGTGAAAGTCATTGCCACTCTAGGTAGCTTGTTTCTTTATGTATATAATGAATAATGTAGGATGTTTCGCCATTTAAACTCATGAAGGGTAAATCCAATGTGTTTGGAAAAACCGTTTTTTCATAGGTATATTTTGCTTGATGCGTCGTTATTGTATTCCAAGAATTGTTAATGACCGATTAACTGAACGACTAGGAATGTAAGATGAATTTGCGATGTTTTTCGGTCTGACTGTGATCTGAGATAGATTCTAAAAAACAAGGGATTTGAGACTTAAAATAAAAGCTGAACTACTGTTATTAATTCATATGCATATGAGTGTATAATGTTTTGTGATGCATACTGATTGGTACGTCAGCTTTACGACAACTGGTTTTTGGCGAATTTAGTGTGGAACCAACGTAATTTTTGGTTTTCAAGGAAAAACATTAAAATTGAGTGCTATAAAATCGAAGAGTGATGACGCCATACATTTTAAAGATAAAGTTAATGTGATGCAAAAAATACCTATATGGAATAAAACAAAATGCGAATATAATATTTTTGCTTGATCTGATTTTCGTTTCCGCAAAATATAATAAAACACATTTTCAATACGCAAACAATATTCAAATTTGTCTATACAAATATCAAAGCAAAAGCTTTTGGGCCCATAAAACGCGTAGTTTTGAGCTTTTTCCAAGAATTTTCAGTGTGCCGCCAGTATATACAGATTTTCAAACATATATGGCGGCAGTCCAAAAATTTCAACAAAATCACACACTCTGTGACAAAAAATACGAATAGACCATCTGAAACGAGTGACATAGATGTTCATAGTTTAAAACGTATAACGTTCAACTCTTCATTGAAATTTAATATAATAGGTTTCCGGAATTTTCCCAAGTTGCTGATGACCATTTTTGCTTTTACCGAGTACCTACCTAACATGTTTTTTATTATCCTTTAGATGCTATTCACACGAAAATCAACCCGACGACAAGTCGATTTCAATTAGATTTCGTCTCGTTTTGAAGTGACAAAAAACACTTACTTTTACTAGCAACTTACCTGTAAAAATACGAAATAAGTATAGGGACTATCGTCTTAAAAACCTTAACAAGCGTATAAATAACGTGTTTCGCAAATAAGATTTAGCCAGGTCAATCCATCAACATACATATTACTACCTATATCAACTCTACAGCTCACCATCAACGTTTTCAACACTGTTGTTCCTTGCTCCAAAGAACACAAAAATGCAATGGGGAAGCAAGTATGTAATTTTATCTGATTAGCAATGCTCTTTTGTGGATACTATCAAAACGTTAGCCGCAATTTCTCAAAAAGATCGAAATCGAGTTGAAGTCGATTTGCTTTTGGTTAACAGTGACTTACAGTTATTGAGTGTTCCAAGTAGACAGACACAAAAGCGCACGATATCAAAATCTACAAATAATCATCGATATCTTGTACTTAATATACATACATAGACGGTCGTATTTCTCTAAACACTTCCAAATGGTCACGAACATAGCTCCTTTTGCAACACAAATTCAACACTACACCATATGCACTAGATGGATATATGTTTGTAAAGCCAAGGTGCTCTATAATACGCGACTTGCAGTACGCGCGCCGAGACTTAAAGCGATAAGACGCCGACAACCGATCAGAATTTCCACATGACTAATTAAATCCAAATAAAGTGGGGACATATATGTTAGTATTTGGGAATTCTAAATACACCGTAAATGCAATATTCCATAATTTCATTGTATTCAAACATCCCAAACTTATAAGTATAACTACGACACATGCATTGGGTAAAAAATATGACTAGATAGGAAAAACCTAAGTCCGACATTTCTTCATCAAGCCTTCGATATATTGTTCCGCCATCTTGGACTATACAAATAAAATTATCGCGAAAAACAATCGTGTTTTCCGCTTTTTAAAAAGGTTAGACGAAACAGCAGTGCAACAAAAATAAGTTCATGTATTACGATTGCTTATCGAAATTTTCACGATTTCAGGTTTTTCTTATTAAAAGTACACGTAAAGCTACCCACATTCTTAAAAAATTAATAGAACTATGAAGATACTTCTCCTCAACCAGTTTGCATGCCTATCCTATGCAGTCTTCTCTTGTCATAAAAGGACCAACCAAGTAACAAAGTCTATGAATTAAGATGCTCCCAGTGGGTATTACGATTGTTTCAGGAAATATTCGCGAATTTTTGCTTTACACGTGAAGGTTTCTACATTACTATAGAGATAATGTTCAGATAGCATGAATGTCCATCCTATACAGTCTGCTTTCGTCATAAAATTAAGAACCATGTCAAATAGTCGATTCGAATCATTACTTATGTGAGTAGTACAGATATTTTTAGTTATTGCCCTTCCATTTACTAGTATTAAGCATAAAAAAATACCTCGAGTTCGAGGACGTCCAAATTATCACCATGCTAGCTACTTTGACAGGGGTAGAATTATTGCCTATCGAGATGTTGGTTTGTCCTATCGCGAAAGTGGCCGACGTGTTAATTGTACTGGAATGACGGTATTAAGTGTGCGTCGTGTGTGGATAGAAGAAGGTAGAGGAACACGGCCAACTGGTCCAGTGAGGCGTACCACACAGCGTCAAGATAGGCGCTTCAGTCATCTAGCCCTACGAGGCCGTTTTACTACTACGCGTTTGATCGCTGACTAATGGTTTGGAGAAGAAGGTAGACTTGTTACGATGAGTACACTCTAACGCCCCATTGTAGCCCTTGGACTTTTTTCATACCGTGCACTATTAGTGCTTCCCCTGACTGCGGACCACTGTCGTCCACGTTTGAACTGGAGCAGAGAACGGCAACACTGGGAGGCAGAATGACATAATGACATCTTCAGCGACGAATCGCGATTCGGTCTAGGTAGGCACGATGAACTGTTGAAGTAATGGTTTGAAGGGCTATTGCTTATAGTAGCCGATCACCCCTTATCTTTGTTCAAGGCACTGTGACTGCTGCACGTTATGTTTCCCTTATGAACCACTTTGGTTCCCTATCTAGACGGCCATCCACACGTCCTTTTTCAGCAAGATATGTTTTCCCGTGGCCACCTCGTTCACCGAATTTAAATCCCATCGAACATGTGTGGGATATAATGAAAACTAAAATTGATTCTGAAAGACTTTGAGGACCTATGAAAAAAAGACAAAGACCTGGTCCTAGTCCTAGTCATTTTGCACATTTCTGAAGACTATGAAGTTTCGCGTCTCTTTTGAATAACTAATAATTTTTGTTTTCTAAAAAAATGTTTTTCCTCTGTCTTAGATACGAATAGTTGTTTCGAAAATTTCTAAATAATAGCAACCCTGAGTTGATGATAGGCCAGCTATAATAATGTTCTTTGCATAGTTACACTCTGTCATTATAATGTCATTAATTGCATATTTTATATGTCACATGAAAGAGGAAACATAAACTGTATTTACCTTAAAAAGAACAATAAAGTTAATGATGTCAGGCATCAAGAGACGAAATTCTAATCATGTTGCCTTACAGAATAGAAAAACAATATGTTGTGTTCCTGTACTGAAAACGTCAGAAAAAAAACAATTTTGGCATAATGCCGGAAATATTATGAATTATATAAAAAATGAGTGCGAGTGTGACTGACCAAAATACGCAACTCGCCCCCATTTCATCTTACCCGTCTTATCGTTTCAGAGAGAATCCACTGGTGAGGGTCGAATTTGATTCACCCTGTATATGATGAGTTATGAGAAAATTCCCCTTTTTGTTGGGAAGACTGTATCCGAGATTTCGTCCATCAAAAGCATTTGATGTTACTCCGCCATCTTGGATATCAAACTTTATAGGTATACCTAGGTAGGTGCCTGTACCGGTAGGTATCTTTTAGCAAGTATTAGTTTACACCACAGAAAAAACAGTCCATGAGTTCTATACAAGTTTGTTCCAAGTTAACTTCTTTAGACATATTTATCTCACAGAATCTTTTGAATGAATGGTGGAAAAATCACAATATCTACACATTGCATGGGAACTAAAAATATATATAACAGTCGTTTGTGATTATTACGAGTCTAGGTATTTAAAAGTTCTTATTACTATGATTCCGATCATCCACTATAATCATAACAAGCACGGAAATAAATAAAATGTGTACAAACTGTAACGATTTCCATCTGAATTCAAATTTCCGCTGAATATCACGCCCTCTATATAACATCGTAGTCAGTTGTTTGTATACGGTGATTTCTCACAGATCTTATTGGTTCTTTTTATTTCAGACGTTATCAAACAATAGTTCGTATGATAAATGTATTGTAAACGCTAGGAAGGCTTTTATTTATTATTTTCTGGAACAGGTCGTTTTCCCGTTAGCAAAAGTGAAACGCGTGCCCAATCAGATTTTAAATCAACCGCTCGAAGAAGAAGTGGCAACGTTGGATCGCAAAATGGAAGTTTTGCGGTTCTGCGGCTTCTTTATTTTTTATTCTGTCTTTCCTCGATTTTCTCGATGATTTTTCCGAGTGTGTAAGCGTGCGAAAATTAGGAAAAACAACGCGATAACATTTTTGAGCAGAAAGTTTAACTAATTTTCCTTCAGGTAAGAGATGGCGCTCATTGGTAAATTTCGGAAAGTAAGCACGGGACAGTCAAATTTCTATTCCTCAAGGCAGCTATTTTGTAGCTCTGTCACATTTAATAAAATATAAAATAAAGTTTTTGAGAAACAAAGTGAATGTGTGCAAGTTTTGAAGGTATTTATGAGAAGATTTTGTTGCTTTGAATAGATTTATCCATTAATTTATAGGTGCTTGTGCATCTTTTTTCGCAAATTATTAAAAGTGCGATGTGAATTTCTCCAACCAAACCGTCGTACAGGGGATATCCCTGGAAATATTTTCTCATTATTTTCAATAAAAGATTACTTTAGAGCAGTGACTCACGCAGAAACAGCATATAGATCATTTATAAAATATCTGTGTGTCCTTATCTGGTCATATCTATTCGAACGTTTATTCAGCATGTTTTATATTTAGCGATTTTGAAATACTTCTTCCTAACAAAAGTTTTGTGTTTACAGTATCGCGGCAATGTCTTCACTCGCTCCTACAGAGCTATCTATTACCCCAGATGAGGGAGATAGCTCGAAAATTACAATCACCACAAATACCAGCAAACTCATATTGGAAAATAATTCGCCCGATGTTACTATATCAAAGCTAGAGGCTCCTGGAACTTTCACAAATTTAACAACCACCAATTCACAAATGACAATGAAAACTCAGGTTTTGCCTCTTGTATACATACAAAATCCTCCAAAAGTACCTTTTGCGACCACCAACAATGTTATTGTTAATAATATTCCTCCACTGCAGTTTGCTACTTTAGGGGGAAATATCACAAATAATACTCCTACTACAACTGTAAATCAAAATGTTATTTTTGCAACAGGCAGACAACCTTTGTTATTTCAGAAACAGGGTAATGTAGTTCCGATTGTTCCCTCAGGCACAAAAATCACAGGTGCTTACCTAACAATGCTAAAACAGGTGCAGACACCTAATGAAACTACAGTAAATAAAATCATAGCAAACACAGCTATGCCAAAACTGCAGGATTTTTCGGTATTGAGCAATAGCAAATATATACAACATCAAAGTACTTCGCAAAAGTTTGTGATAGCCCCAATGCCTAAATTGACTACAAACCGCTTGCCTGCCACAGCAACTACAAACAGTGTACAACCAAAAATAGCACTATTACCAATGCCTGTTCCGAGTACAGAGCCAATGGAAACAAAAAAGGTATATAATTTACAAATACAAAATGAATCTAGTAACATGGCTACATCGGTTTGTGATCTTTCGAATGATAACAGCTTAGATGCTGACAGCAACAGTGAAAACTTGGTTTGTGATGAGGTGATAGACCTAGAAAGTCCTGAAAAGAATGATATCAGCAACCAAGCTTATCAACTGAGTATTGCTGAGGAATCATCAAATTCTCAAAGTGATGTCAAAATAGGCAGCAAGAAAGATTGGCCAAAAGTTCAACATGGGGTTTCCATATTGAAAAAGCATTACATAACCGAAAGGAAACTTGAAAAATCAGACAACATTACTAATAGTTTAAATACAGTTTCAGAGAATAAAGGAGATATGAAGAAACAGGAAGATGAAGATGTTATTTTAACCATTCCAGAGAGAACAGAAAAAGAACGTCGACGAAAATCTAACTTTTGTTACAGGAAAGATTTTGATGAAATAGACTTGACTGTTTCCACACCAAAAACAGAACCAGCTCCTTATGAATCTGTCATCACGAAAGTGAGTGCAGAAAATCCAAAGAAAAATCTCACAAATGAGTTGGAAATCGAGCTGATCAATGACAAAAGTGAGGCTTCTTTTCAAGGAGACCAAGACACTGATTTGCACAAAATCCTTTCATGGGAAAATGGTGTAGGAACTTTGCCTGGTTCGAGCATAAGATTCATCGTAAATGAGTTCAATATGGTAGAGTACATAACTGATAATGAATACAAAGCTCTGCTCGAGAAAAAATCTCTCAAAGAAAAAGAGTCAAAAGCTGATGTCCAAGAAGAAATGAGGTGCCTAGAATGTGGATGTTTTGGTTTACCATCCGACTTCTTCAGTCCCAAATACTGCAGTTACGAATGCCACGATATAAATTTGAAGAAAATAAAGCAAAGACGACTAGAGAAACAGATGAAAGTAAAAAAGAAGAGACAAAGGGAAGATGGGAAGAGTGATTCAAGATTCGAGAAAGATGAAGATATGAGTGACGAGGATTCCAATGATAATTCTTCACAGGATAAATTTTCAGATAAGGCAACAGCATATCCATGGGCATGTAAGAAGAAAGGGTTCTCATGGTCTAAGTATTTGGATCATGTTAAAGCTAAAGCAGCTCCTGTGAAGTTATTCAAGGATCCATTCCCCTATACTAGAAATGGCTTTAGGACAGGTAAGATTTGTTTTCATGTTTTCATAAGATAGGTGTCATAGTTGAAGCGATTTTTGTGAAAAGAATATGAAAAACAACTGCCTTTATTTTGATGTAACATCTGCAATTTTTCCTGTTATTTTCATGCTGATAAAACTAAATGTTTTTCTGACCAAATGTAACCATATATACAACTTGTTAATGATTTTTTTTTTACAAATAAAAACAATATTGCCAGTATATTTTATATTTATCTGTCCTATAGAACAGTATAGATAAGTATAAAATATATTGTCTGTGCTATTTCTTTCTATTTTGAAAAATACCACCCTGGTGGTCAAAATGTTACTAGCCATTCTTCTATATGTGCCTACATTTGGCCAGAAAACCATGGATTTTTTCCTTAATTCTATGCCTCATAATACATTGTTGTTGCAAAAAATATGCAAACTTAAACAAAAGGTGAAATGGAATTAAATTTAAAACCTTGAGAAGATTGTATCTTCAGTATCTCCTATTATATTCTGATGAATGTTTATTTAAGCATTTAACCTTGATGCCCAATTAAAAAAAAATAGAGTTTAAGAAATAACTTCATTTATTTTGTTGCCCATATATGGTCATGTGCTTTTTTAAATTTGTCAGTTTGTTGCCAAATCATTTCTTTTTTGTTTTTTATATCTGAAGGCCAAGGCCAATACATCTAGCGATTATAGGAAATTATAAATTATTGGTCTATTTGAGGTTATGTGAATGTGAATTTTTCATAGAAAGCATTATATTTTAAATTTTATGATATCATTGATTTATAGAATCATTTCAAGCTAGTTCAATTTTTTGCAATCTTTTTCAAAGCTAAAACAAACATCTCCTTGAGCCACAATAAACTGTTTGATTTCAAATATATAAAAAAGGAGTATTCCTCAGATCCCTGATATGCACATTTTACGTTTCTTGCCTTCATAGTAGTCTTTTTGACCATACTGATACTGCATTAATTATTTTTTCTGTCTTTCATATCATTTTTCAATTCCAAATTGTGGATTGTTTTTAGTTATTCATGAAAATCTATGGCATTCAAAGAAATTTAATAATTGCCGGCTCTGTTTGAAAGGATCCAGCCATCTATGAAAAGATTTAACTTTGCATTTTACCTGTATGTCACAACTTTAAATACTTTGTAGATCGAGAAGCTATATTATTATTTTCAATGAGTTAGATCATCTTTTATCTTCCAAATTAAGTGCTTTTTCTAAAATTGATAAGGTCAAAATAATCGAATATTCTGGATAATTGTTCTTTGTACTATTATCTCTTGTTCTCGAAACACCCTGTAGAGGCGTCAAAATAGAAAAAATCCATTTTCTTATAAGTTTATGCCCGTTTATGACCCATTATTTATTCGAAATTTTTAAAATCTATGTATTTTTTATTTATTGAAAACTATACTACACCTATATAAAAGTTGCATAATAAAAGAAATAGTAAAAGGTTAAAAATTTAAAAAAAATAGGAATTTTAATACACAGATTTTTTGATATTCTCGACCACTGCCGTGTAAAATTTAGCGTTTTTTGTTTACTACTCTTAATGATTTTCTTTAATAATTTTTAATAATGTAATTATATATAGGTAATTATGCAACTTTTATATAAGTGATTTTTGGCATATCAACTTCTTTTGACGAGTTCTACAAGCTGTTAAAATAAATGACTCAACCTTGAAAAAATCCTGTATTGACCATGTTAACGCGTGAACGTCACATCTTTTTACATAGGAGAAACCCGGGCAAACGAACACTCCCGAAAAATCGAATTTCCCGTTTAAAATCAAACCATGAATCGACGATTGAGTCAGTAGATTTAATAGGAAAGGAGAAGTCTCTTAAATAAGAGATTTCAATCAAAGCGGATAAGGTAAAATGGACACTGTTAGTGTATATAAAATTGGTAATTGGGTACATAAATATGAAAACAAATGGTTCCTGGTACTAAGTTTGAAATGATCCATCCAAGTACACGTCGTCTGCTGTCATTTTTGCAATGAAATTGTATTGTGTGGTATTACTTGAATGGGAAACGCATCTACTTTTTGCGCAAAAAAAGCATTTGGAAAAAATGTGACAGCTGATTTCTGAAATGACCGATACGGTTACGAGGGATGTCTTTTAAATTTTGCTTATGGAAATAAATCAACACGGTAGGTAGTTTTAAATGACTATTGTTTTTCGAAGTATTCTCCACGAACCAATTTTCGAAGCACTTATTCCACTCGTTTGCTGGCAGATCCAAAACGGCATTTTTGAATGCTTCCTCTGCAATTTAGGAAAAAATTTGTTTCGTGAAAACCTGCAGATTTGCGTCAATGAGCTATTCACGGTTTGAAGTGCACAACAAGAGCCTTTATAATCAGTTATCTTAATGTTTTTACAAACGGTATTACACCCCAGCTCCAAAGAAAAAGTCTGTCGGGTACGGTGCGCGATATTCTCTGCAACTTAGGAAACATTTTTTTTCGTGAAAACCTGCAGATGTGCGTCGATGAGCTTTTCACGGTTTAAAGCACACAACAACCATTGACCATGCAGTCTGTTTTTAATTTTCGGGAAAGTAAAGAAATCGTTAGGACTTAGATCGGGACTATGATGACTTTTGGCGAACAAATGGTGGTATACCAATCCGCAGTAACAGTTCTTTGCTCATTAAGAGGAATTGTTGCAATATGACCCGCTTTTGACACAAATGACGCGACCATCTTTGTCGAAACACTTCGAGAATGGATGACTTTTGTTGGCTTTTCTTCACCTTGGAACACCCAAACAGCCGACTATCGTTTATTTTCTGGTGCATAACAGTAAATCCACGATTCATCACCACTAACAATGCTGTATACATTTTTTGAGTTTCCGGAACTAAAACGTTCAAGCGTTTTTTGACACCAATTAACCCTGGCTGCGTTCTACTGTTCAGTCAACAGGTGGGGTATCCAACGAGAAACTAATTTTTGTACTCCTAATTCTTCATGTAAAATTTTTTGAAATGAGGTCTTTGAGATCTTCAAGGACGCCTCAATCTCGCGATATGTCTCATGTCTATCTTCAATGATGAGTTAGCGCACAGCATCGACGTTTTCCTGGGTGACTGCCGTTTCTGGTGCATCCACCCTGGGATCGTCGCTGAGACTCACCCGTCCAAGTTTGAATTCTCCATACCAACGGGAAATTGTCGACTGATGTGGCGCTTCGTTGCCGAAAACAGACAGTAACTCAGCAAGGCATTCTTAAATTATGGCTCGAAAATGTTCTCGGTTGAGTTCCATTTTTCTAATGACTTGGTGACACTTAAAAATTTACTGTAGCGAGAACACTGCACGTATTGTTGTGAAACTTTGAATTTAAATTTACTAAAGAGTGGTCTTGGTCTTTTTTTATACATATATAATTTGAAAATAAGAAAAATTGAGCCTGTCAAAGTAACATGAATATTTTTCTCTTCCAGGGATGAAACTGGAAGGCATAGACCCACAACACCCCTCCTATTTCTGCGTGCTGACAGTAGCCGAGGTGGTAGGTTACCGTATCCGATTGCACTTCGACGGATACCCGGAGAACTACGACTTCTGGTGCAACGCGGATACGATGGACATCTTCCCCGCGGGCTGGTGCGAGAAATATGGACACACGTTGCAGCCGCCTGCGGGGTATACCTCGGAGGAGTTCAACTGGGTGCAGTATTTGAAGCAGACCAGGTCCACTGCAGCGCCGAAGCATTTGTTCGCCAACAGAGCCGGACAGGTAAATGAACTTTTTTACCTAACAACAATTCTATAATGGATGAAAATTGGGATTTATGCTATTGAAATATTGTTCATTAGCCTCCGGATCCTGGTAGGCAGGGAAAGTGCTTTTTATCTTTTTATCTAGCAAACGAGTCGAGAACTGAAAGAAATTCAGGAGGCAAAATAGTTGTATTTCTAGCTGCTTAATTCAAAATAGAAAAATTGAAAAAAGTGTGAGTGGCACACATATTTTTTGACAAATATATTGGTGAGGGTGTTTTCTGGGACGCCACTGGACTTGATAATTCCAATCTAATCGGGGTTAAATTAGACCCTTACTGCCCTTAATATCAATGCTAAATTTAAACAAAAACGACTGAAAGTTTATCAAGATATTTAGGGAAAAACGATTTTTGAAAAAAAGTTTGGCACCCTAGTAGTAGTAGTAGAAGGATTTATTTAGCACATTTGGCTACACAAACAGAATAATTATAAACAACTTAGAACTAGTAAATTCAAGCATTATGGTGTATGGTGTAAATGCTGGGCAACCTATAATTGCAGATTTAAAAAGTGATTTCTCAATTTTACTTTAAATTTTGTCAAAGTTTTCTGGTCTTTTATCTCCGAGTATAATTTATTATATTCAATCAACCCTTGATGGAATACAGATTTGTAGCATATGTTATACTTTTTGGTCATTAAATGGAAGTCATCTTTATTTCTGGTATTATGTAAATGATGGTCGACATTTGATGATGTTAAATTAGTTAGACTTGATGGAAATATATTATTTTTTACTTTATAAATGAATATCATTACAAGATATTTGATAAATTTTTTTACATTGAGCCATTCTAATTTGCTAAGCATTTGCCTAATTGGATTATATTTATCTTTATTTAGTATTATTCTCATGCACTTATTTTGTAAAATTTGCAGTCTTTCAAAAATGGAATTATTTGCTAAATATAGAATAGTCGAACAGTACAAGAAATTTGGAAGAATGATGGTATTATAGATAATTTTTCTGCTATATGAACTCAGACATCCAGAAACTCTCGATAAATATCCCACTTTACTACTAATCTTATTTATAACTTTTCATAATGAATATCAAAATGTCAACAAAAACCACTAGGTATTTAAAATTTTCTACGAATTCAATATCAATAACAAGGCTTTCGTTTTACTTGCATTTAATTTTAGTCTGTTAGATGCTAACAATTTTGAGACAAGCTTCAAGTCTTCATTTATATAAGAGATACCAGACTGAATATTTTTAGTACTTATATAAATCATAGTGTCATCGGCGAAAATCTGAATTTTGCATTTTTTGACTATGACAGGTAAATCATTTATGTATAAAATAAAAAGAAGTGGTCCCAGGATACTGCCCTGTGGAACACCCAACGTATTTTCAATTTTTGATGAAATAGTGTCATTTTTTTGTAACTTGCATCCTTTTAGACAAATTATTTCTAAACCAATCTAAAACACTTCCTGTTATACCATATGCCTTCAATTTACCTAACAAAATATCTCTATCAATCGTTTCAAATGCCCTCTTCAAATCCAAAAATACTGCTATGACAACTTCTGAGTCTATGGCTCTTCTCCAATTCTCAGTTACCAACTGAAAAGCCGTTGGAATATTTTTTTCGAAAACCCGCTTGCGCGTCCACTAAAATTTTGTTTTCTTCTATAAACTGCATTAATTGGTCATGCACTATGGACTCTAATAATTTTTCAATGTATCTAGAAAATGAAGGCTTTCTGGACCTATGTTTATATAAACTGTTCATCTTAAAATTACTCCTCCTGAAGTTTGGCTACGTACTTAAATAACACTGAGAGTAAAGAAGTTGTCAAGCTTGATTTATAAGCTGTAATGTTATCTGTGCGATAAAAATGATCATATTCTAGCCATAGGAAAACTGTTTTTTTTTAAATACGTGGTATCTCTTCGTTTTTATTTTACATGTATGTGCAGAAAATATGTGCTGACTTTATTACTGTATAGTTTCCCGTTTTTGACTTATCCTATATCCTATATAATCATGGCTTGTCGACAAATAACACATCTGTCAATTTGAATTACCTCATATTGTTCATGCATGATCTGTCGTCAAATTTTCTTGACCACATTTTCTAACACCGTATATTTATAGGATCTTTTGGTACTACAGGGTGCGTCATCTATTACTTTTTTTTATTTGAAAAATCAACCCGCTTTTTACGAGGTGGAATCGAATTTTTTTATTGATAAATGAAGGTTGGTTTATGCCATTTATGTACGAAAAATAACATCAGTCATGTGACCACCGCGGCTTCGTTTACAGGCCAACATTCGAACATCAAAATTTTCAATGATTTTTCCCAGAATAATCAGGTCTATGGCCGCAATTTCAGTCCGAATATTGCGCTTTATGCGTTATGCGTTGTTATGTTGTAAACGAATCCATGATTATCAATGGCATACCTTTGACAGTTCGTTTATGCATACCACATGACTTTTGACTCACATGGTAATCTAAAAACTTATAGCTAACAAATGTAATAGATGGCGCACCCAGTTCTTTCTGCCCTAGAATATTTTTTCAATCACCCTGTATATTTTTACTTCCAGGCGATTTGTCCGAACGGGTTCAGAGTCGGCATGAAACTAGAAGCAGTGGATAGGAAAAATACTGCATTGGTGTGCGTCGCCACAGTCAGGGACATGATGGACAACAGAATTTTGGTGCATTTCGACAGTTGGGACGACATCTACGATTATTGGGCGGATCCGACGTCGCCGTACATTCATCCTGTTGGATGGTGTGATCAGTACGGGCATAACCTCACGCCTCCAAATGGTAAAAGTAAGTAATCTTTTTTTTTCATTTTCTATTATGTGGAGTTTGTTTGTTGGTGAATGTTGTATCTGCACGTCTGATGTTTTTAGTTATTAATTTATTTCGCTGTCAACTTAAAAACTGCTTTATTTGTAAACTATGAGCGAGTTATATTCATTTAGTTGAGATCCGCGTACACTAGCGTTCAAAAGTATTTGAACATACTGAAAACAAGGATACTGCTGGAAGTTATTAAAGAAAACGTTGTACTATCTGTATGAAACGTTTATTTTCTTAATTCCTAACAATATACATCTATTTATAATCAAAATAATCATATTTTTCATCAATATGTCCTCCTTTACTGTTAATTACAGCCTGGCAAATGATGGGTAAACGCGCAACTATTTTTTCTGAAGTTGATGGGGTTATTTTTCGCTATTCCTCTTGTAATATTCTCCATAAGTGTTCTTTTGAGATGTAGGACAACATTTCCGTACTTGTCTGTCCAGTTCATTCCACAGCAACTCTATCGGATTCAAATCCGGGGATTGGGGAGGCCATTGCGTGACATTCAAAATATTTTGTTCTTCTTTTGCATCCAAAAATTGTTTACAGAGCTTGGATGTGTGTTTAGGGTCATCATCAGGCTGAAAGACAAATCCATGACCAATAAGACGAGTTCAGAAGGCGCAACATGATTTTTTAGTATGGCCTTGTAACCTTCTTTATTATGTACACAATATCCCCCAAAGCAGATCCTCTAAATCATTATTAGGCCTCCACAGTGCTTGATTCTAATGCTCTCTCGTTAAGCCGACGTTGGACAAATCTCTTGGAACCAAAAAACTTCAAATTTCGATTCGTCGTTGAAAGGAATTTATTCCAGTCAGCAACTGTCCAATTTTGATGTTGTGTGGCCCAATTTAGTCTCTTTTTTGTTGGTATCCTAGAGGAGTGTTTTCGATACTGCTATGCATCCCTTAAGTCCAGCTTCGTGTAACCTTTTCTTAACTCTAGTCAAAGTCCGCTGCTATTTCGGGTGCAGTCATGCGTCTATTGCGTTAATTTTTCACTATTATGCTTAAGTCTTCAGTGGAAATTGTAACTCTGGGTCTTCCTGAACCACGGCTATTGGAGTTGTGCCTTGAGCCCTAAATTTCCTAATAATGTGGTGTACAGATGACGGTGGGTGGTACCTTCTGAAGCTTAGTAATTTCTCGAATACTTTTGCCGGATTTATGAAGACCAATACTCGTAACAACTCATTTTATCTCCTTTGAATATCCTTTAGTTTTACCTATTTTGTCCAGAAAAAAAAATAAACAAAGACGAACTTGTTGAACAAGTTATTGGAGCTCGGTTACTTCATCAAATTAGACAATATAACTGAAGTAAAACTGTCTTATGGGTTTACGTACAATTTAAAAGAAATAATCGAAAACAAATCCTTAAGAATTCCTATATACAAACATAACAATATTCTTAATGCACAGAAGTTCCTATTATGGCTAATGATGAGATACCAATACTAAAAATTTTGATTTAAATGACCTTTCAGTTATGATTGATTTCCATGGTGATGGTTTTCAATAAATACAGAAAAATAGATACGTACTGAATAGTTTTTTTTTATGATTTTAAATGCAAATATGCAGGTCTTCAAATACGTTTGAACGGTAGTGTATATAAGTTTGTTTAGTTTTAAGTTGGCTTTGTCATTAAGGATGATTGCATTCTTTAGACATTGGAACATATTTATCTATCTGTCTATCATAACTGTAATGCTTCCTCGACTGCGAATACATGTCGACATGTTACTGATAGTCTAATCATATCATAGACGAAAATATTGCTGGTTTGCGAAACATGTAATTGTAATGTCTGGTTTTATCGCTGCAAGTTGTTCAACGGGGTATTCAAAACATGGAAGCATAAAATGGGTACACCAGTTTGTCTGGGAAAACTTTTTATTCGACGACAAAGAATGAGAAAACGTGTTTTTTGGGATTCAATCGAAAGTGTTGGCAGAAACGAAAAAACTCTTCATATAAGATTTTTAGGTATTTATGAGGCCTACAAAATCGACGCAAACTGCAGGTTTTGGCACTTGGTAATGCGACGATGGTTTCTCGCAGATATTTGAAATTCTTCAAATTCGTATGATTCGTACTTCTAAATAAACACTACAAAATTGTTTATCCCAAAACACCTGTTTTCCTGTCATCACTACTAGTTTATTGAGCAATATACGGGTTTAGTTCAAATGGCATTTTATAGCTGCAGAAACAATGAAGTGAAGTGCTGTGATCAAAAAATAGGGGGATTGAACTCCAAAGTTAATACTTTCTTCAACTCCATTTGTGATTGTGAGTATGACTTAATTTGCTTAACCGAAACGTGGCTTTCGGACAAGGTTAATGATATTGAACTGTTTCCTGCTGATTATAATGTCTTTAGGTGTGACAGAAATCTAAACTCCACACATCTGTCCACAGGTGGTGGTTCTTTGATAAGCTTCTTGTTATCTACATGGTTTATGTCCCACCTTCTGTAACGGCGGAGGTGTTTGAGTATTATCTGGATGCCTTGGAAACATTCAATGGTGTTTTTGATTCTTGCCAAAGTTTAATTCTCGGTGACTTTAACACCCCTTTAGACAGAAATGATCGTAAATGTCAAAATTTAAACCAGTTTTGCTCTTTTTCATACTTCATAAATTCCAACGATGTTAGAAATCATAGCGGCCGACTTTTAGACTTAGTTTTAGCTAATTTCAATGTTGCAGTGATTAGGAATGACTTACCACTAGTTAGGGAGGATTTGCATCATCCTGCTATAATACCCGAATTCTGTGTTGGTGACACTATGCAAGGACTTGAGTTTGGTGATAATCAAAAATACAATTTTCGGCGGGCAAATTTTATTGATATGTACAGCGCATTGTTAATTGCGGATTGGTCTCCAATTCGTGAAATGAATGATTAAATGAAGCATGTAATTATTTTTATTCAATCATAAGAGAAATTTTCGAATATTTTTTTAGAGATTCTCAGTTGGATTTTTATTAGATTTCAATTTTGAGATAGCTGTTCTTAGATTGTTGATGTTAATTGACCTAAATTGCTTCATTGATGAATTCAGACATACTTGTAATGGACGTAAGTTTGGATCTCCGTCATCAATCGTCTTCACTATTTGATTTACACTTTCTATATGTTGCCAAATGAAAAGTTTTCCCACCCATTTTATGGGTCCATGTTTTAAATACCCCCTTGAACAACTTGCACCAATAAAACCAGACTTTACAGTGCTTTAGGGGGAATATGCTTGTATGATTAGACTATGACTCTTACATGGTAAATAGACACGCTGAAAGTTCTCTTTAATAGCGCTACTTTCCGATGAACTGTCTCTTTATCTCCCCTAACGCGTCATTTCCCTTCTAGATTTCCCGAATCCGGAATTGTTCACATGGGAATCATACCTGAAACAAACCAAATCGGTGGCGGCGCCCGTCCGCGCGTTCAAGCAACGCCCCGCGTGCGGTTTCAAACGCGGCATGCGCCTGGAGTGCGTTGACAGGCGAGTGCCGCAGTTGATACGCGTGGCGACGGTGGACGACGTCAAGGAGCACCAGATCAGGATACACTTTGACGGATGGCTGGATCGGTACAGCTATTGGGTGGACGATGACAGTCCGGACATACATCCGGTCGGGTGGTGTCAGAAGACCGGACATCCGATCGAGCCACCTTTGAGTAAGTATTTGTTATAGTTATAGACCAGGAGCATCTAGAATTTTAGAGGAAAAGTTGTGATGAGCTGTTTTACGGAATAATAGATAAATAAGTTTTTATTTATTCATAAGCCGCGGCTTAGAACATTGTTAATGAGAAGTGTACCAGTTACCTAAAATTAAATTAAGAGATCGATATTCACGGCTATCAAGTTGTAAGAGTAAACTCTGTTTCGAAGCATACAGGTGGTATATTGATATATACACTATATAACATTGAAGCCAAAGTACAGAACATTGAAGTTGTTGAATATCAATGGTGGTACATCAATCTGGAAATAAGGATACAAAAAATTACAATCTGTATATTTATTACCGATCTCCAAGTGGAAGCGTGAATCGATTTATTGAATTTTTTGAAAGTATATGTGAAAAACATTATTACAGGTATTGCACAAATGTACATTTAGGAGACTTCAATATAAATTTTGACAGTAAAGATTTGTATGTTACAAAATTTAAACAAGTACTAAACTTACATGGATTATGGCAGAAAATAATGACGATACAAGGATTACGAACTTTTCGAAAGCATTAATGCTAAATAAATCTGCAACAACAAAAAAAAGAAACTTACATTTACAAAGATTTTTATAAACTACTAAGACTTCGTGTGCCTTCACAATCATAAACAAGAACAATATATTTAATTACAATATTCCATTTAGTCAATATGTGACACCCAACGTTTAGGGCCCAGAAATACAAGTACAAAGAGCCAAATAATTTGTTTAATCTTTTGAACAGACTTATAAATATTTATTGAAACTTTTGGACAGACTTTATTGCTTTATTGTTGATTGTATAATACTTGATATTGGTGTTATTAATTATTGTATTTTTGCAATTTCTTTACTTCTCTTGATGGTGTATGACTAGTTTGCTTGTCGGCAAGATGGATTTTAAAATGGAAGTCGGTCACCTTAAGAAATAGATGTTACTTCATGAGCTTTTAGTCCGTGGTGTCGCTGTTGACGAAATTCATACAGTTGACAAATTGAGAAGTACTTTACGCTCTCTATTAAAATTATGTATAGGAGCAACAATGATATATCACCCTGCAGTAAAAAGTATTCTAAATTAACTCTAGAGTGAGTCTATACTCATCCTCAAAAAAATCATTCAGTGAGTAAAATGCCTTAGAGATTAAATGATTAGCGATAATCTTTTTAACTTTGATTTCCGGTAAATTACGTACATCTTAATGAAAACTAATGAATTTTTTTTAACAGTTTATGGAGCATTTTTCTTTATAAAACTAAAGTTGTACTTATCTGAGATAAAATCTTCTATGCCTAGTCATGTGATTATGTTTTTTGTATATCTCTGTTTTTAAAAACAAACATAAAAGCGTCCAATATATAAAGCGAAACAACAGATAGATTTTTTTACTGATGAAGATTTCTTTGCAATTTTCCATTTGTTTGACTTTAAATAGGGCCCCCATGCATTTTTTCGAAGAATTAAAACCCTGTTCATATCCCGCGAGCTGTTTTAGTTTTTTAAAAGAATGTAATTGAAGCTGTCATGCTAAATAAATCTTAAAAAAATAAACAAAATAACGTTTAACAGATGGTTCGTAGAATATTTGTTTTTATTTATTATTTATTGTAATTTAATTCTCGAAGAAAAGTATACTATCTAGCTAAAATTAATTATAAAAGAAATAAACAATAATTACAAAGATTTTTCGTATGCCTTCACAATCATAAACAAAAACAATATATTTAATTACAACAATTTTCTATATAGTCAACGTTATCAATAAATTTATGTATAGGAGCAACAATGGTGTAATCCCCTGCGGTACAAAATATTCTAAATTAACTCTATCCTTATCCTCAAAAAAAATATTCAATCAGTAAAATGCCTTAAAGGTTAAATATGGGCGATATTCTTTTTAACTTTGATTTCTGGTAAATTACGTGCATTTAAATGAAAACTATTGAACATTTTTTAACAGTTTATGGAGCATTTTTCTGTATAAAACTAAAGTTGCACTTATCTGGGATAAGATCTTTATGTCTAGTCATGTGATTATGTTTATTTGTAGCATCGTCAAACAAATCTCTATTTTTAAAAACAAACATAAAAGCGTCCAATATATAAAGAGAAACAATAGATAGAATTTTTTTACTGATGAAGATTTCTTTCCATTTGTTTGATTTTAAATAGGGTCCTTATGCATTTTTATGAAGAATTAAAAGCCTGTTTATATCCCGTGAGCTGTTGTAGTTTCTTAAACAAACAAACAAAATAACGTTTAACAGATGGTTCGTAGAATATTTGTTTTAATTTATTATTCATTGTAATTTAATTCTCGCCGCGATAAAATTTCTTTATTTTTGATGTATGCAACTTTGTATCTTCCGACATTTCAAATCACTTGAATGATGTGGAGAATACCACGGTGGTTCAGTTTTCAGGACATGTAAATACAACTATCACATTTTTTTTCATTTCTTTCGTTTTTCTTTAAGAGAGCAAAGAAGTAAAAATGTGACTGATTTATTCAATTCTTTACAGCTCCAGACGACGTGTATGACTTTCTGGAATGTCCGACAGTAGGATGCAGAGGGTTAGGCCATATCCGAGGACCCAAATTCGGTACTCATTCCACGCAAAAATATTGTCCGTACGCCGAGGAGAACATAGACGTAGAGAAGATAGTACCAGATAGGCTTCTCAGTCCCGACAGGACTCCAGCCTCTGTAGAGCCCATCAGTAGAGAACCTAAGGAATGCAAACTGTAAGTGTACATTTGATTCGGGATAATTTTGTTTAATGTTATGCTGTCGTATCTTTGCAAATTCAGGAGCTTTATGAATGAATTATTTCGAAAATATAAAAATACTTCTACAGAGTTTCCCATAATATCAGTATGTATTCGAAAAAAATTGTGTATAACACTATAATTCTTCCCCATTTTTTATATTGTTCAACCATCTTGTTTACAGCGAATGAAAACATTTTAAAATTACAAATTCTGCAAAATAAAGCTATGGGAATCATTTTAAATAAAAACAAATATGCTAAGTTAGAAGAATGACTGTGGTTGAATGCAAAACATTTTACATGTTGTTTAGTTCTCATTTTCAAAATTGAATAGTAATCATCATAACTATGGAACTGGAGGAAGTATAGATTTTCATCGGCAAAATTGTAATAATAGCATGACTAGCAAATTGTATTTCAGAAGGGAGTATTTGAATTGAATAAATTGAATAATGATGTGTATTCGAATTTAATAATGTTTAAGGTGGTTTAAGAAATCACTTTATGAATACTCAAAGTGCATCAAGTAGTATTTTAATAGACAAGAATGTAAAGTTACAGAAAATTGAGCCACAGTAGACCAAAGAGTCGCAATGGAGGATCGTTATTGATGCACTCACAAGAAACCCTACAGAAAATTGATTGGTTAAACGAATAATAATTATACAAAATTTGATATTGTAGCATTAATGCTACATGTATTTTCAAGAAACAAAACAAACAGACATACATTTTATGACTTTCTTTATGAAGAGACACGTGAACCATACGTTGCCATGAGAAGCTCTTTATGGAATCTGTCGCCTCTCTTGCTTTTATTTGTATCACCAATATTTGACATAACTTCCTCCCACTGTTCCTCTATTTTTTGGAGATCACATCCACATCAAAATGCTCCATTTGCTTATGCTCTCACTAGGTAAATTTTGAGAGTATCCCTCTATGTAAATTTTGAGAGTATCCCACTTCTGACTTCCCACTTTGCATCTGTTGGGAAAAATATTCTGATTGGGATTTTTTTGCATAACCTTATTGAAAAGGGACCCTTCTAAGGAATTTGCATGGTGCCAGGCCCAAATTTAGGTCATGCATTTTTTTAATAATTTGCTTAAACGAATTACATTTTTTTTTTGTTTTTGGCTCCGCCGAAAGAGTTTTTAGGCTTTTTAGGACATTTTGACCAAAAAGGAGCCTTAGAACTTTCCTCTAAAGTTCATTGTTTTCGAGATATAATATATACGAGGTTTGTAAATTAAGTGATGAGACTTTTTCTAAATTTTTTCATTCAAATATAATTGCAATTTTATATTGTCACCCACAAAATAACTTCCTTCTGAAGTCACACAGCGCTGGAGACGGTTCTTACACCCCTCATAGCAATGAGTTCCCTTGAGATGATTCTTCAACTTCGGGAAGAGAAAAAAGTCACAAGGACTCAAGTCAGTCGAATAAGAAGGCTAGAGAGCCACATGAATCTTTTTACTGGCCAAACATCACTCGTTTATTGACATTGCTCGAAATTGATGTCACTCATTTTTAGAACACAATAAAAAAACTGTTTAAAAAAGGACAACCAAATGACTTGAGCGATGTCAAACTTGTACTGAATTAATTTACAGACCTCGTATTCTTTAAGCATCCATTAACAAAAAGTCATTTGGGGAGATATTGTTATTGTAAATCTTTGATTTTTAATTGTTAATCAATGGATATTTTGCATGAGAGTGATAGAGATGCAGCTAGCGGCCACCCATATTGCTTATTTTTACAATTTATGTAAAAAACATTGTTAAAAAACTTCTTGACGCAAATTTAGGCTCGGCAACTTACAGATTCGTTAAACAGGATTCTTTTTGAGCAAAATTATGCAAAAACTCCTAATCAGAATATTTCCCCCATCGGATGCGAAGTGATTTCAGTATTTACGTGTCAAGATAATCTTGGAATAACCGAAGTAAAAATAAAATTTGCATCTTTTTTTCCAGTAAACCTAGAGTGGGTCGACCTCCGAAGAACCCTCGATTGGAACCTCCTCCAAGATTGGAAAGATGCGGGGAACCTCCAGAGAAAAAGGTGAAACGTCAATTGAAGAAAGTGAAATCCGAACGTTTAGACGCAAATGAACAAAAAAATCGAGCGTCGGAGCTTATCAATTTTATGAAAATTCCACCTGCTGAAAGGGAATCCTGGGCGAAACATTCTCAGTTCCTTAAAAGGTAATAACCCACAACATAGTCCAAATTACATAAATTGGTTCTGACAAAAATATACTTAGAACTTTTGCGATCAGTTTTTGCTAGTGGGTATTTTGAGTACGTTCTTCTATATCAAATTTCAAGATGCTAGGGACTACATTTTCTGCAAATTTTTTACTTCCAATACTTTGTTCATGTTCACGTTTTTTAGGCTTTTCCATGAATATTTTAAGAAAGGTGGAGCATAGTCTTGACTGATTAGTTAAGATATTGGTACAAGGATCTTGAGGTTGCATCCAAGACGCATAGAAATTCAATTAAGGAAGAAAGTTTTTGTTCAGGTTGATCTTTCGAAAATGTTAATTTCAGTCTTCACGGCGGAGTGGTTGAGGTTTTGTTTCGAGACAGGCAATCCAGAAAACGAAAAAAAAAAACAAAAAAAACAATTTATTGAGAATCAACAATGCATAGGTCACAAATCAAAATATTGATTGACGGGAACACTTAATTTGATGACAAATTTTAACACAGGTCCATTAGTTTTTGTAAACAAAAATTAGATGCCAAAAATAGCGGGTAAAGCCAGTAAAACAGAGGGGTGTGAGCAGAAAAGATGAGACTGATTTATATTCAGTTTTTCCTTTGAGCCTCTACCCAGTAATGGGGACGTTCCCAATCTTGGTACTATTGCTGAAAGTCTTCAATCGGTATGTCTTTCAGCATGTTCATCACACTCTTTAGAATGGCTTCTAAAGTCCCCCAAACGACATCCTTTCGCATCAACAATTTTGCGTAATGAAGTATTAGGATTTATTCAAAAATGACCCAAAACTTCAACTTGAGCGGCTTCATCCAAAACTCTCCGATGATCACGTTTTTTATTTGCAACAGATCCAGTTTGAGTAAATTTAATAACAAGATTCAAAACATACCTTTGCGAAGTTAGAATCATTTCCACTCTTTCGGGTTGTGTGCGAACCATTTTGGAAGTGAAATCTGAATCAATAAATTTATTTTCATTATCCCCAGATTGCCACAAAGGTGACAGCGAATTAAATTCTTTCTTTTTTCTTAGCAACAAATAACTAAACAAGTATAACAATAAATACAGTTTGTCCAGGATATCTGTGTTGATGAAAAGAATGCTGCGGAAAATTCGGGTTGTTATTTGGTTGTTGCTTCCGAATTGCTGTTTATGTTGGTAGTTTCCGTTTTAAATTACAAACGAATTGTAGATTTGTCAAACCCTAATGGCGTTTTTTTCTGTTAATCAACGGTTTTCGATAAATCCGTGTATAAATGTTTATAAATCCTTTTCTTCCAGGTATATAAAAATGGCGAACGATCCAAGACGATGGTCGAACAGAGACGTTATGGACTTCGTTCTAGGACTATCTTGTTGTGATATTAACGTCGATGTGTTTCGAAAAGAGCAGATAGACGGCGAAGCGTTACTGGCACTGAGCCAAAAGGACATTTTGTCGATGCTCAAGTTTAAAATGGGACCAGCTGTGAAACTGTACAACAGCATCGTTTTACTCAGGCAACGGGTGGACGAGAAAAGATATGTGTAAACGAAAAAATGTGATCGATTGTGGTTTCTGAAAAGTGAAAAAGTTTTAAGATAGAGCTGCGAGAGGGTTTTTTAAATGGATCGAGGATCTTTTATAACAGTGCAAAAATAAATTTCATTATGAGGAAAGTATTTATAAATTATATTGTTTGGTGGTCTCAAAGTAAAAATACGGGAAGAACATTACTTTTCAAGATTCTTGTTAAGAGCGTAAACTATTTTTTGGCAAAATGAATATACCATTTTCTATAAGAATTTGTTCAATGAAAAAATATTCAAATACATTATTTGGAGCACATTCTTTTCGAGAAGTTGAACATAAGCTGGCTCTAATTATTACAAAAAAGAAATCTTTCAAATTTTGTTTTAATTACATTCTATTATTTTTCAATATTTCAAAGTATTTTGTTTGATATCATGTATGATGTAATCATAATTTTTCTATTGGAATAAGTTAATTTGTAAATCTTGCTTTTTTTTTCAACAATGTGTTAAAAAATCATTAATCATTTTTTGCTGGATATCATGATACTGATATTTTTCTATTAGACAAAAGCTTTTACGTTTTGATTTAATTACATTCTATGATTTTTTCAATATCATATTCAAAACATTTTGTTGGATATCATGTATGCTGATTATTTTTCTATTGAAATAATTTGGAAATTTTCAAATTTTTTCATTGTTCAAAAATCATTAATAGAAGCAATACATTTTTTGCTGGATATCATGATGCTGACATTTTGCTATACAGTGGTATAATGGAAATGTTCCTTAAGTTTCTTATAATTGATTTCTTTTTTTTGTTAAAAGAATCTTATATTTTTTTACCGAAAGTATCATAAACATTTATGCATTTCTTTATTCTCATTTTCTTTATGTGCATATTTGTAAATAATTAGCTCAAGTGCTATTTTTTTATTGTTCATTTTATGTAGTTTATAGATTCTTTATTTTTAAAATTGTGCATATAGATATATTATGTTACGTTGTAAATTACTGTACATATGATTAGCTTATAAGCCTTTATTACTTGAAATAAATATTTTCATTTTTTACTCACGTATTTTTTATAAGCGTTGATATACGTCAAATCCCCTTTTTAGATTTTTTCAAGTGCCTGTCTGGCATTATTTTTTACCTATACCAGGAAGATAATGCAAATAATATAAGTGCCCCCTCATGTGATTATTAGTCATGAAACTGCTTGTATGGCACTAAAAATCTTACAGCCACTTTAGATTCACCTCAACTAAATGCATTTATAATGATTTGGACATATTTTGGAATACCATTCAGTTATCCGTGTATAACGGGTTTTTTTTCTATGCAATAACCAAAATAGTCTCCTACGCAGGTTTCAAATGGTTTCTGATGTTGCTAGGGAAACAAGCCTATCTGTAGATGTTTTGTGATACTTAGAATGTGACTCTACCACGACTTGGCAACGTCGGATTTCGGATTGACCTCTTGTTTGACACTTGTCATCTGTGATTGTGTTTCATCTTGTTCATATTATCCATTTGTGTACAATATTTTTGCAACTTTCCAAGCAAATAGTTCGCTTTAGAAAAGGTGATTTTGCGAACTATTTCCTACTGCACGTAGAGATGTTCAATGTCCAGCTTGTGGGAGGTATGAATATGGCAGAATACGCATGAAAGACTGATAAATTCCAGCTCAAAGAAAGGTAAATATCTTTGTCTCGATGTTGACGTAGAAAGTTAAAATGGTGAGATTTATTTTTAAAATGAACTATTTACAGTTTGGACTGAATGCAGCGTGCCTGATAAGGCTGCTAGATTCGGTTGTTATAGCTTATGAAATATGACAGTTTACTCCTCATTTTCACATTTTAAATGATCGTTACATAGTACCCCATATACCTGAGTAATTACATGTTTGCACTATTTCCATTCAATTTTCTAGATTGCTGAGATGATTGTTAGTTACCTAATAGTTTTTGACCATTGACCAATTGATGCATATTTTATCTGCATGCATTTTGCATATGTTTAAGGCAAATGTCACACAATCAGTATTTACTATAGTCAATACCACTAGTATTTACTGTGGTTAATTCCACCAGTATTTACTCATGAGTCCATCAGTGTCAGTGGATTTCTATGTAATCTTAAAACAGCAATAATTATTGACGTCCAGGCTACACAGTCAATGAATATTGCATCCCATGACAAATACTTATGGATCATAGTAAATACTCATCATGTGACATTTAAGCACCTTGCTACTGTGGCAGTAATACTTTTTCAACAGCAACTCTTGTTTACGTTTTTTTTCTGTCCTTTTTGTCTTTCTGGGCCAGGTTAACAAGTATTTAAACACATGATATACTAATATAGCTGTTTATCCTACATGAAAAATAAACTGCTACTGGTGGTTGTTTACATTTTTTATGTTTGTTGCGAAATTACAAACTGTAATCAATGTTTATTATTATGATATATATTTATGACTCAAAAAATATTTATTAATTCTTCGATAAAATTGATTCCTTACACTGGATTTATAGTATTTAAAAATATAGTACAGTCAATACAGTAGTTTCATAATGTCGGCATTTTTAGGGCACTACTGACCTAAAACAAACAAAAATGACCTATAAATGAAGTCTAATGTCACACCCATTTGTCATTATATGACATCATAGTATGTTGTACAAAATACCAAGTATAATGTGGATATGACTTCTGTATGACTATGACGACTATCTAAGGTTGATATGACGCCACTTGCAAAAATAATCGTGTGGTGTATCCAAATGCTCCTGGAAAATTGAGGATGTGACGACGCCCCACAAGCAGTGAGTTCAAGAGTGGTAGAAAGATGCTGGAACTCATATTCTACTTACCTACCACTCTTGAACACTCTACTTCTAAGACGTCTTTATCGCCTCCGCAATTTTTCAAGAGCATTTGTACAAGGTGTATCAAAGTTAATAAAGAACTAAAAAACACTGATGTCAAACACGTTCCAGTTCTCCGATGGTTCAGAATTTGATTGTAGCATTTTATCAAAATTGTGCTTTAATTACAAATATTCCATTAAAACTTGCTTATTGTTGTACACAGGAGTTTCTAATAAATTTGTTATTCATGGGAACAAAACATGTAAAATTGCAATTTGAATTATCTGAACATGGAATATTATTATTAGAAAAGTCATACAATAATAATATTAATAATAATGTTTATTGTAGAAAAATACAATTTAGGAGCAAAAGAGAAAAGCATATCCCGCAATAAACATGTACCCAATGCTTGTGCATACCTATTAAGGTCAAACATTTTCAGCTTATCATTGCCCTGCTAGCAAATTTTTATGTATATGACGTTGAATATTTATAGTGAAAAATATACAAGGCATTAACATTTTTTTTTTATTTTAAAAACATACATCTAAAAAACAAATATAAAAGTATTACCTAACCAACAGTTTAATGATTTGTTAAAACATCTATATATTTTTTTAAAAGAATCTAAGGACAAAGAAAAAAGTAGTGAAATTTATGTATAAAAAAAACAATAGATAAGTCAAACATTTATATTATATCCAGATAACAAGATATATTTGGTCGAAGAATTCCTGATATTTTTTTTATAAATCACAATAAAGTAGTTATCAGTATTTGGATAACTAGTTTACCTGACTGTTCATTAAGAGTATATATTTTCTTTGTAGGTAAGTGTTGATTTTTCAGTACTGACTCTCCTAAAAAAAGATGTCTTGTCGTCATAAAAATGGCATCAATAAAGACGTCATTTTTTAGTCAATGACGTTTTCGACCAAAAGTGAACGAATAATGACGTCATTTTGGCGTCATTATGTTCACTGGAAGATTATTGGTTACATTTTGCATAAAAACTATCAACATATTTTTCTGTGGAAGATCTAACCATCAAGGTTTGATAATACTGACAATACAGATAAATTATGCTTTTTTAATTTGTTTTTAAGAGTATAATAAAATAAATATTTCTGTATTTAAAGATTAATGTGAAAGTTTTATTTTGCAAGATCCCTTGAGAATGACAGGAAATCCACAACTATATTTGAAATGTTTTTTAGGATCTGTATTTATCATGTTATATGCAATCCTAGCTTCACATGACTTTTAAAAATCCATATTCAAATGGATATATGTTTGATCATCTCATTCTGAGTTTGATCCAAAAAATAAGAGCACCTATTTGACAAGTTATCCCTGAGTTAATCCTTGAAGATCTATAAAGGATACAGTTATTTTTTGTATTCATCATAGATTTGCAACACTGTGTATATAAAGTTTATTTGTTTACTACAGAAAGTGTTTATTGTTGTACGTGATAATTTTCTCATGAATAAACATTACTGTTAATATTCTTCAGATTCTCATTCATCAAAATGGGTGGAGTAGCTAGCACTAGTAAGAACAACGATGATCTGATAGACAACTTGTTAGCAGCTGATTACATCAAGACACCCACAATTGAAAGGGTTTTCAGGGCTGTTGATAGGGGTGAATATTTCCTCCATGATTCTAGGTAAGATTGAAAAAACTGCTAGCATTAACTAATGCAAGGCGATCTGTGTGGATACAGGTGTCATTAAACATTTTTTTAAAAATTGCATTTTTGCAGTAACTAACCTTAAGGAGTGATTCTTTCATTCTGGGATTACTTTGTTGCAAAAACAAAATAATAACAAACAAATTAAACTAAATATTTAAAATGTCAATAAATGATTTTGTTACATGACATAAGGCATTTATAGTGTTTACTTTATTATTGCTGTAATTTCAGAAGCAATGCTTACAAAGACATTGCCTGGAAGTCGGGTAACCTGCATCTGTCAGCCCCATGCATCTACAGTGAGGTTATGGAAGCCTTGTGCTTAGAACCAGGCTTGTCATTCCTTAACCTAGGTTCAGGTACTGGCTACCTCAGCACCATGGTAGGACTAGTTCTAGGCATCTATGGGGTCAACCATGGAATTGAGTACCATGCCGATGTTGTACAATATGCCAACAGGAAACAAGACGAGTTCAAGAAGTACTCAGGAGCAATAGATGAGTTTGATTATTGTGAACCAAAGTTTATACAAGGTATAGTTTGCATAAATATTTCTTCAAGTTTATGAGCACAGTATAAATATAGCAATTTTTAAATATTCTCTGGCAAATTGGCAACACTGCGTTGGTATATGGTGAGTCAACTATGAACGAACGGTCAAACCGAGGGCGGTTCGCTCTTAGATGTTGTATTTTTTACGAGTATCCATTACAGTATAATAACAGCTATCTAGTAATATTTCAAAATTCCCCATATCGACGAATGACACATAATTCTGGTGGATCTGTCAGCGTCAGGTAGGCAGAGCCGTATTATGTTTTGATTTTTTGCCAACAACTCTTTTATTTAGGAAAGTTCATTTGGATACAAAAAAAAGTTACATGCAAGTTATACTAAATTTACACCCGATTAAGTATTGCCAACGTTACAGACTAATACCAAGATGTTACTTGCTGGTCAACTATTCAAAACGTGATGCATACTGATGAAATAGGGTTTAGCTTTGTTTTTGTTTTAAAATGTGATAAAAGAGACAACTAGTAATGCAGTGCCAAACAAATTCAAATGCAGTCCGATTTTGCTCCCGTTAGGCGGCGCTTGTGTGGTCAAAGCTGTCAAATTTCATGTCAAAGGTGATTGGACAAGACTCAATTTCCCTTTTCGATGTCTATTGACGTAAACAGCTGATCAGCAATTGACATGTTGGTCTGTTCATAATATTCATATGACCCTCAGGTATATAATGTACTATATTTTTTTGTTTTGTAGGAAATTGCCTGTGCCTTAGCAGCGACTGTTTCATGCGGTACGACCGCGTATATTGCAGCGCTGCGTGTCCAGAGCAGTACGAGGCGTACATGAAGAATTTGCTCAAAGTGGGCGGCATCCTCGTGATGCCGCTGCATGACCAGTTGCTGCAAGTCAAGAGGAAGTCAGAGTCCAATTGGGTCACGAAGAATTTGCTGCCGGTTTCGTTCGCATCGATCATACAGCCTCCTGAAGGGTGTACTGACCTTGTATCTATCAGTAAGTCTTATGGTAGCTTCATTCGAGAGGCGAACATGTATTCGTGGAGACTTTCGGACAAGATTTTTGTTATAACCATGTTTAGTCTAACACCTGAAACGGGTCCCCCGAATAATAGAACATTTGGCATTAGATAGCGCGGAGCGCCATCTATCGCACCAGCATCGAACCATTTAATAACTATGCCGCTAAATGGCTGATGACTCTGGCAGAATGCAGAGTGGTCTGTTAGCCACTGAACAGGTCAAAAAATCTCTTGGTCGGACTGACGAAGGCATCTTATTTTGTTTTGATCAATAGAACATTTGTTTACATTTAAAAGCATTTTATTGTCTGTGATCCAATTTCAAACACTTTATAGATGAGTGATTTATTTTCAGTTGAAGTTGAGCCTCCGTCACTTCAATCTCTGAGCCGTTCCTTGATACGCATCAATTTAAGGAAAACCATCACTGTCACGCCGCCAGTGAAGCGACCTCGCAAAGTCAAAGGTGTCCTCAGGCGAATGGTGGTACCTATTGTGGAATCCGAAGATAGCACCGATGACGAAAAGGCCGTCATCATAGAAGTAAGTAACATATTTCATCCAATGTACCATATTAACTATTTTTTACTTTATTGTCGCAATTGTGTCTTGGTGGTAAATTTGCTCGGGGTTGAACAAACTCGCTGGTGTGTAGGACCCTTACATCTGCAGTTACCCATTGTCCCTGGGGTATTTGTGGATTGTGGAACAATCTACCTGAGGACGCTGCTTGAGTATAAAAAACTGTATGTAGTTAACTGTAACTCGCGAAATTTTTCCAGTACTATCCGAGTGGGTCTGAACCAGAACAAAAAGATGAGAAGATGGACACAGTACACGAGGAGACAACCGCTGAAAGCAGCGATGGGAAATCTACAAAAAGCGAAGGCAAAGTCGAAGTTGAGACGAAGGCCGTCATTGAACATAACTCTTCGACCACAAACAATGGTGGGACAAATAACGGAAGTGGATCTTCTACTGATGGAAAGACTGATAAGGTAAGGCCGTCATGCACAAAGCGTGAATTTTTTGGTAACCTCTTCCCTTATGTTGCAGACTGTGAAGCCGTCAACTTCGTCGAACTGCCGCCGAAGGCGCTCTCTGGAATCCAATGACAGTAGAGAGGATGAAAGGCAAGAATCTAGCGGAGCGATTAGCGATATCGAAGGAGTATTTGTGGATTTGGTGAATGTATTGAGAGGAGAGAGAAGAGAAGATAGGCGAGATAGACGAGAGGATAGGCAGGAAAGACAGGTATAGATATATATGACAAAGCTAGCTCTAGTCTTGACTTGAAAAAAATATATAGAAAAAACGTAGTCGGACCCCAAGCACACACCACTTTTTATTGTGTGGGCCTTTGTTATCTTTTCACTGTTTTTCAGGTGAATAACGAAGATGAAGACGACGATAGTAATGATCGTGAAGATTCAGAACACAGCAAAAGAGGACCTACAGGCGATGGAAGGGAAGGCAAGAAGAAAAAGAAGAGAGTCAAAATCTTCGGTACCGTTGGAAGTGGATTTATTGGAGTTGACCAGGAGCAACATTCTGGTAAGACAAAAAACATTCATTTTGATTAGAGGATGGATTGTACGATTCCATTTTCTTGTCGGATTAAACCAAATATTTGTATATTGTTATACGTTTCGACCACCATCGTGGCATTTTTATAGTTGTATACTGTACGGGGGTTCTTTCATTACAGATGATGTTTCGTCTACGGATTCGGACTCTGACTCCAACCCTAACCAAGACAAGCGCAAGAAGAGATTTTTATCTGAAGATGCTAGATCTAGAATGTTCAACCCTGCTAGAGTCGTAACACAGCTTTTACACTATAGCAGTAGTGATAACGAAAAAGAGGAAGAGCAAAAGGTAAGTTATGGTCACTTTTATAGATGTTCCTTGAGGAGTGAACACAATTTGAGGAATGATTTCTCCTTGGATTTCAAACATACAATAATGCTTCCTTGAGGAACTTTCATGGGATGATTTAGAATTTGCTTTTTAGACTAGAAAGAAATTTAATTATAAATAATATTTTTTTTTAAATTTTAACTTTCAGGATTTTTAAAATTTTCGTGATTTTCATAATTCTTTATACTTTTTAGATTTTCAGCATCTTAAAAATTTTCGAAAATTCCATAACTGAAAAATTTGAAAAAATAATTTTTTGAAATCCTAAATGTTTTGAAAATTATGCAGGATTCGAAAATTTTAGAGATTTAAAAATTTTAGTTTTGATAATTGTGAAAACTGTTACAGCCTGCTGCAAAATGCAAATGTTAAATCTCCCTTGAATGTTTCGAGAATTTTTTTACAGGAGCAAAAAATTTTGAAAAAATTAGCATCGCTATATTGTTATATCCATTACCGTTATTTTTTAAAGATTTGTGCAACGTATAGGTTCGAAAAAAATTAGAATTATTCGAATTTTTGGTTAGGTAATGGAAATTTCGCAAACCTAAAAATTCACCGTATATCAGTGCTTTCTTGCCTTCTTTTCAAATCCACTAATAGAATCATAAGTTTATGCTAGGAAAATCGCCAAAAATCGGAAATACAGCGTTTTCACCGATTTTTACAATTTATTTACATTGTAAACGTATGGTAACTTAAAAAAATATACAGATGTTTTTGTCAACTTTTCAGGTTTCACCTTCAAAATTTTCATTTGTTTCCCAAAAAATTTCGAAAATAAGAAAAACCGCATTTGCATTTTTGACGCTTTTGGTTAGGACAGGAATAGTTGGCTAACATTTTAACTCGTTATATTTACGTTTTTGCGGTTCTGTTGTTAAAATAATTTTTTCTTCGCCGTAAAATTGGAAAAACCTAAGAAATCGCATATCACAGATTTTTCCAATTTTAGATGCTTTTAGATTATATAATAACTTGGCTAACCCAAAAGGTCAATGCGCGTCTGTATTTTCGTGCATTATTTCAGGTTTCATCGTCAAAATTTTGATCGCTAAAATCGAAATAAACGATTTTTCACAGAATTTTTGACTTTTTAAATATGGAGCACCATAAGTAAACTAACTCAGCATATACTAAGTGACGTATAAATCCGAACACCCAGTTTAAATGGTTTTCTTTTAATAAAATTTTGTATAAGTACTTAATGAAGCATAATAAGTAAATGATAAAAATTTCAAAATCACTGCTTTAAAGCCCTTTGACCTTTAATAATGTGTGGATGCACCCTGATGTGCTGCGCATTCTCCAACGCGCCTAGGCATGCTTCTGATCAGGTGGTCAATGTCCTCCTGTGGTATCTCATTCCAGGCAACCACCAACTCCTCTCGAAGTGCTTCTAGAGTCTGAGGAGAACGTTGCAAATTGAGCAATCTCCTACCCATCATATCCCACACGTGCTCAATTGGGGATAAGTCGGGAGATCTTGGTGGCCATGGTAACAGTGTGACATCATTATGTTGAAAGAAGTCTATTGTGACTCTTGCAACATGTGGTCCGGCATTATCTTGTTGGAAAGTTGGATCTGCCAGGGTGTCAAGATAGGGTAAAAGATGGGGTTCTAGAACTTCGTGAATGTAACGCTGCGCGTTCATGTTACCTCTGATGAAGATTAAAGGTGACCTGGAACCATAAGCTATAGCACCCCAAACCATAACTCCAACAGTATGATGAACATGTCTTTCAACAAAAAACTGTGGATTCCTCCTTTCACCACGTCGCCTTCTAACCCTGGCACGACCATCGTGCATGCCTAAACAAAATCGAGACTCGTCACTAAAGACAATACTGTTCCATTCCTGATCCCAGAGTGACCGTTGTCTGCACCACTCAAGGCGATTACGTCGGTGTTCTCGAGTTAAAGGAGGACCCAGTGTGGCCGGTATGAAAACAAGCCAAAACTTCTCATTCGTCGGTAAACACTTCGCATGCCAATAGGTCTTCCGTGTTCTGCAAACCATTCATTTGCAATGGACCTGGTAGTGGAGAAACGGTCCCTTAAGGCCAATAATCTTAGGCGGCGATCTTCACGGTCTGTTGTTCTACGGCGGCGTCCAGTGCCCCTTGCTCTTTGCGTACGGCCTTCTCGAAGCCATGCCTGACAACACCTAACCACAGTGTCTACACTTCTTTGCACTCTAACTGCAATTGCCCGAAAAGAAAGTCCAGCTTCCCGAAGTCCCATTATACGGCCCCTATCAAACTCACTAAGTTGACGAAATCGTACAGGTCTCCGTACTCTAGGCACCGTAACCGATCGTAAAGGATGTCAAGAACCAAAATCCGCCAACGTTGATTCTTTACTGCGGCTGAAATATTCATTTTTAGAGCGTTAGTGAATTAAAAAAAAGCAGTATAAAAACCGGAATGTCCAATTGATAAGGCTGAAAATTTTTTCACTTGTTATTTACAGTAAGACAAATACGTTCACCAACTTTTATTAAAATAAAACCATTTAAACTGGGTGTTCGGATTTATATGTCACTTAGTATATTTATGTATTTTTTCCATTCTTCTAGGTTCCATAATCAAAATTATGATATGTTCCCGCGAAAATAGAAAACAATTTTATGAGCAAAATTGCTCTCGTAAAAAAATATTTTTAAAAAACACGTTATCGAGGTTAGGGACTTATCAATCTAAGATTATTTAACCCAATATAACTTAATCTGGATTGATGTAGATTTGGATACATTCGGAGTCAATTTTCATATGTAGCCTTTTGGTAGGGCTAATTGCATTGGCCTGTTTGGCTGACTTGATCCATTTTTTTCCAGGTGGATTACGACGAGCGCCGGATGTATCAAACTCCGTACACCGAACGCATGCGCTCTAAGATCCAAGAATTGCCCCTACCGCCCATCCTCAAACGGTACCTCAATTACTACAGGGAGTTTTAGGTTCGACTTTGACGTCTTTCGTGATTTTACGACACTGTGTTGTCGACGGACAAATGCTTTGCCTAGATTTTTGTGCATATGATAAGGTCGATTTCAAAAACGTTACACGTGGATTATCATACAGCAGAATATTAGTTAAATCTCCAAGGATCGGATAAACTTATAACTGGCTTATTGCTATCAGGGTTTTTTTTCCATCAGTACAAAATTGTATTTTTATTAGCTGAAATACGTGGGCAGGGTGAACAGTTCTCGGCCGTACAATGAAAGAGTGCAATTTTCAGTTTAAAAATGTTTTTTTTCCTCCACATAACCCAACATTGGTCCAACGTCCAACATCAGGATTTCTTCTAGGAAGGAAAATTTCTTGAAATAATCAAACTAAGTTCCAGGGGAAATTGTAAGTTGACAAATTATTTGGTGAACACGTGTTCTGCTTCAAGTTTTTATTTGCGAAAAATTGGGTCAGAGATAATTCATTTTATGGCGTCATCGATTAAATTTTTAATAACAATAATTTTCAAGGATGATACGGGATATCCTCGTGTATTGATAAAAAACGTATTTGAAATTGGCACACTGAAACCACCTTAAATCACTTTTATTTTGCACCAAGAAATCAGCTAATATGATTTGATTTTTAATATAGCAAACATAAATAGTGATATTTCCTCGGAATAAAAATTTTGGAACCACCCCATGCTCACTAAACCATTCCTTGCAGTTTCTTGATAAATATAGTTGCTAATAACGCATTTATCGTCAGTTTTTCAATGATAAAGATGTTAAATACAACATTCTTAATATTAGCTGTACATAATTAAATTCCGAAAATGTATTTAGATAATCCATGTGTACCGGTACGGTGCGGTATATCCTATGGTTTAATGTATAAATGCCAAATAATTTTTTACTTGATTCTCAGTAGAATTGTAGTGTGATATAGTTCTTACATCCAAATTAAAAAATAAAAACGACACAGATTAACGGATTGTCGTTTAAATTAATGCAAAATTATTTTTCATCATCGTTGCACCACCAACATCACAAACTGAATGATAAAATTAAAGCTAACTTAATCTTGATTTCCTGCCATATTGAAAGTTGCAACTGTTGCTGTTATTTTTTACCTTGACATCACAGTACATCATTGATTCTGGTGCTAGAATTATTATAAAATCAAACGTGTTTGGTGATGAAACTTTGGTGATAGACTGTGATAATGCTATCAATTAAAATATTACCAATTTGAGATTTTACAACAATTTTCGATTTATTGTAAATAGCCTCACTTATCACCATTACATAAGTCTCAAATATCACAATTAAAATTTTGTATGTCTTGGGTTTGGTGATTACAGGCTTCTCAAATGTTCTTTGTACAGTATGTTACCACTGATACTACACATCTCGGGCATCATATAAATAAGTTTTTAGGTTTCTATTTTGCAGCTTCGTTAGTTGCAGAGAATGTTTTGTAAGGTTATTTTTTTCCTTATTCAGCCCTGTTGCAGGTGTTCGTAAAGTTGAGAAAAACTAAATTAATTCAAAGTTATGAAAACAGTTGCTTAAAATGTCATAGAAATATGGAGTTTTTGATCACAGATAAAAATGAAGCCATGAAATAGGAATAAATGAATTAATTTTATTATACAGTAGCGGACAAAAGTTTGAAAACATTCTTAGTAATTTTTAAAAAGTGCGTTAATTTTTTATTCTTTATTGTTGATATAGTTTGCTTACATTCTTGAGGATACAAATGACAATATGTGTTTGCTGTGGTATTACAGACTAGCATTAAAATACCTTAAGACGACTAAAGTATGGAAACATATTTTTTATTACAAAATTAAACTGTCTGGCTGCCTGACATCTGCTGCTCATAGAAGACGCCTATTTTTTACAGACGCCTGTTGGGATATTTTGCCAAATATTTTTTACATAATCAAATAAATCGTTCCTATTTTTAAAAGTTTTTCTTGTCAGTTGTCTTTTAACATGCTCCCAGAGATGTTCTATAGGGTTCAGTTCCGGAGATTGCGAAGGCCATGCAAGAACATTTTTTTAGTCTTAACCTTTACGAATTTTGAGCTATGCTTGGGCTCATTATCTTGCTGGAATGTCCATCGTAAAGGCATTTTTTCTTCAGCAAAACGGAGCATGTGTTTATAAGAATATCTTTTTTGATCCATTTTCCCAACAATTTTAACAATTGGACCCGTTTTAAAACTAGAAAAACAGTCAAAATCACGATGTTGCCTCCACCGTGCTTAATTGTTGACAACTGATGCTTTGTGTCGAATCATTTTCGTATTCGACGTCTCACATATATGCCGTACCGTCAGATACAAACAATTTAAATTTGCCTACCAAAAAGCCCGAAATCCACCAAGCGTCTCTGCATTATTCTGACAGAAAGATTCTCGGCACCCTCTTCTACGATTCTTTTGAAAATCTGTGTGGCTGGCATTCGAGGATCTTCATGGGACAAACGTTTAATATAGCGATCCAAAGCATAATACGTTTTTTTTTCGGTCTTCCGCACCTGGGTCGCGTTGCTGTTAATCCGTATGCTTGATATTTATTAATGATTTCCGAAATGTCGACCTTGGAGCAAAAACCGGACAAGTCCATATTACAAAATTATTGGGAAATTAAAAAAAAACTGCACAGTATAACACAGTAAGGTTATTATTGATCAGAATAATTTTTTATGTATATTCATAGTTCTTATGGACACTACTACTCAGATTTTAAGACTTCTTTTCAAAAAAAAACAAAGGAGAGCGAAATTTTTCAAAATTTGGACATGTCCGAGTCTTGCCCCAAATAATACAATTTCTATCTTCAATAATACAATCATAAAAATACCTTTTAATTAAAAATTAACAACAAATCAAACGGAAATTATATAAAAGAAGAGTCTGAGTCATAGGCGGGTTCTTCTGAATCCTCGATATTTTCAAGATTTTCTTCCCCATCAATATCGCTCAATATTTCATTGTAGTACCAATAGTCAGCTTTTGGAACATATTTCTGCACCAAAACCTTGACATTTTTTACTTTTTTCTCGTTGATTTTGAGGGGATAAGACTGGTGCATTTTATCATTTGGTAATGAAATGACGCTATTCGGTTTTTTAGTAGAACATTTTTTGTATGTTGTTGCCTTTTTCATATTTAAATAATTTGTAAGTTGAGATACCAAACTTGGAAGTTTTGTTTGTGCTAGAATATGAAGCTTTGAATAGGGGCTTAAAATGCTCGCTGAAATCATTTATAATATCCTGGGTTACATCAACAACGCGAAACTTTTTTGATGTTCTACGAACCAAATCTTTCCACTCTTGAGGTACGTATACTCGTTCTGTTCTCCTTTTTACTTTTTCTATGAGCCCAAAAGTACGGTCACATGGTAAAAAGCTATGTCCTGGTTCAGGATATTGGTGGATAATCAGGCGAATGTTTATGGTGTTTACCAAGGTAAATAAATATTTAGTCATCGTGCGATTTTTGTCCTGAGCAAATGCATTGTCAGAAAAAAGATAAATCGTGGTTACAGATTCAGACAAATATGAAGTTATGAAATAGTGCAGGAAGCTTATAACTTCTTTACTACCGTTTTTTGATGTTCCTTCATCATACATATACAATGTTGAAAATCCTGATTTTGCAGAAGTAATACAAAAGTTGTATTGCCACAACTGACGTCTGTAATATACGTCTCCGGCCGGAACATGTGGTAGCGGTAAATTTTGCTGGTAGTCAAACCACAAAACGTCTACTGTTTCGTCATTTTTAGCAACTTCTGTTTTCTCACAAAAAAAATCGAAAAAATTATTTTTAGAATCAAACTTTCAAACGATACACTACACAAAATAATCAAACTTTTCTTTTGAAGTGGTCAACTTTACCCCATAAAAAAATGAAAAATTAAAAAAATATATATTTAGGGGTCGACATAATATTTGCAAGTTACGTAGATCTAACATTTTACCACATTTCAGATTTCCACATCACAGTTTTCGAGAAAAAGGTCTGTGCATGACAGACAGACGGAGACAATATTGTTTTGTCAAGAGTTTCGCTTCTTGTTTTGATGTTTGGAACCCTAACAAGAGAACTAAAAATATTTGTAATACACAAAAAAACAACCTACCTTATAAAAGAAAGTAGCTGTTTTGTTACGAGCTCTATCCTCTGCAGTTCCAGTTCTTGGCCGGTTTCTTCCAACATTTTCCACCCGAATCAGCCCCCCTAGGTAAATGTTATTATATCCTCCTGAGACCCAGACATGTTTTTCATAAGTTAGAGTTGTGACGTTTTTAAATATAACAGAAAATACATTAACAAACATTCTTTACTGAGGACATTTTTTATTTTTTTTCTTATTTTGAAAGATACATGACGTCCATTAAAATGGACATTGGGTCTTAACCTATACAAAAATGCCTAATGTATAAGTTATTTAGATGGTTAAAAATACATTTAAAATTAAAACTTAAACTTATAAGAACATAGAAAATAAACGTAAATTTAAATTTATCTGTTATGGAACTCTATAAAGCAGTTTCTGTAGCCAGTTATGCATGTTACATCTATTACAAAAAAACTTCGTTTTTTTAGTACAACTGTCATTTTTACATCGAACCGAATTTCTTAAATCTGAGGCAATTTCTGGGTAATGTTCTTTCCGCTTTCTTTCGGTGCCTGCTGATGGTGAATCAACAATGATATTACCCTCAGGATTTCTTCGAGTTCCTATACCTCGTATATTTTCTTGGAAAATGTTGGATTCATTTTTCAAAAGGTACGTGGCAATTTCGATTTTAAAATCTAGATACTGCTGAATTTTTCGTGTAGAGGTTTGAAATATCTTTTTATCTCTTCGATAAAAAATCCATGAGTTTGCCAATGCTAAATCAAAGAAATGGAAAATGACTCTCACAGTCCATTTTTTTGATCTGGCTTGAATTCTGTAATAGCTGATCATTCGGTCTATCAGGTCAATTCCTCCCATACAATCGTTGTATTTAGCAACAATGTAAGGTCTTGCAACTTGTATGTATTTAGAGTCTTTCCTAGACCACCGTTTACACCCATCACTAGGTTGAATTCCTAGACGAGTAGATGCCAAAAGTACAGATTTCAGGTCATACCACTGTACAACCACATTTCGCCATCTTGCCTTACAATTTGTTCCGAGCTACCTCTACCTATCTTGGCCATCATTTTGTCTGAAGTTAAATGTGCTGCCGCTGGTACACGAGATTTCATAATCGTTCCAGTACAATATTTCTTTTGTTGGCGAAGATATTCAAGAAGTGGTATTGTCGTAAAATATATATCGCAATACACATGAGTTCCAGGAAATAATGTTCTTCCAAGCCGAACAACAGCAGAAGGTCCAACACCAAGTCGTTTTACAGAATCATCTGGAAACGTATTTTTTCCTTGATATAGTTCAAAGTCTACGACAAGACCATCAGGAGCAGCAACAACAAAATTTTCCAATCCCTCTGGATTGGGTTTTCCCCTAACAAACTGCTTCATTTGACAAGTTCCAGTGAATGGTATCATCTGCTCATCCACAGCAACTACTTTCTCTCTGGGTAGCTGCAAGCACCCCTGCAATACTGCTTCTAAAATAGGACGCACTTTCCAAAATTTGTCATACCTGCGTTTCTCCTCAGAGATGCTGCCATCAATTACGACTTTGAGGTTACTTCTTATAGAAAAAACCTATCTCGAGTCATAACATCCGCAATAGCTGCAACCCTCGTGGGTTTGGCCCAGTACATTCTGATTCTAGGATATTTTAGGCAGGACATTAAACAAATTATCCCAAAGAAATGTTTAATCTCATTAAGTGTCAATCTAAGGGATACTCCTTTAAGTTCAACATACCTTGCATTTGTGCCCATCACATACTTTTTGGAACATGTCATCTTCTAAGTACATGGCAAAATACGATTTTGCAGTCCAACCATCGCGAAGCTGTGCGCTGCATTCACTAGACGGACCTTCAAAATTTGGAGGTGTAAAAGTATCATTCCTTCTCCAAAACTGTCGCTGCGAAGAATTGGGAGTTTGTTTGGCCGTTCTTAACTTTTTTCTAAGGACACTAAGAGGAATTCTGTCCTCTCCTTCCTCGTCACTGCTGCTCACCAGGTCTTCATCATTTCTTTCGTCCTCTCTCTGTACTAAATTATCCATATTTTCAATTTCATTTTCATCATCAGACATTTCAACGTCAGAATCATCGTTTGCAATGAGTTGTAGTATTTGCTCCAATTTTTCGTCATCTTCCCCTGGCCGAAGCATTCGTTTATTGCCAAAAATTGCTAAAATAAATTTTCCGAATAAATCAAAAATATTCATGAGATAGACCCAATGTCCATTTAAATGGACGCAAATAATTTAGGCTAGTACAAAAGTTATTTAAAATTTTTATTATTATAAAGCTGTTTAAATGTATCTATTAAACATTAACGAATATATATTTCCTCCTAAATCAGCACATAATGTTAAAAATAGGTTACATACCATCTAAACGAGAATCACGTGCAGCCGCCATCACAACAGAAAACAAACTTACTGATTCACGGCGCAGGTGCGAGACTAAAGTCGGCCGAATCGGACTAGGCGGCAGCACGGAAGTGTCCAACGTAGTGGATGCGAGGTCTACGCTGCGTAAATATTAAATTAACGAAACTGGAAGTATAAAACTGCATGTCCATTTAAATGGACGCTGGGTCCCAGGAGGATATTATAATAATCAAACGTTTGGAGCGAAATTCAGACAAGTAGAAGGCTAACTGAAATGTTTCCATACTTTTATCGTTACAAAAACTGTGCTATTTAAAAATACGCGTGTTTTTATTTTCAGAGAATTTGAATATTGATAAGCATTTTATTAGTACGGGAGACAAAGGTAGTCTTTAATATTTATATTATCTGTTCCTTCACAATTTTAGTTTAGGTACATGAAATAATAATGTTAATATTTGTTTCCAAACTTTTTTCCGCTACTGTATATGCAATGTGGCAAAGTAGATTTGTATTCTAGTTCTGCTGGCACTGTTGCCATTTACATTGATCTATACGTCTTACGATGTGTGAGTTGTGTAACGTTCATGTTAACATCCTGTAGGTATTATTGGCAATGAAGTGATTTGGAATGTTTTTCTTATTTTGACTGGTTTCGAGATCGTTGTTTTTAGATTTTTAAGCTGACTGTAGATTTTATGCGGCGATGTGTTTTTATAATTTACATAAATAATGTTAGGCGTTGGGTACATTTTTATACGGCACTAGTGAGAGGGATCTGAGCAAATTTGGAACAAATATCAACCACCTTTAATAAGACTTGTCATTTTACTAAGACAGATCCTTCAGTTGGGCTCCAGCCATTTATTATTATTTTTTAATAACGACGACAAAATAAATTTCGTAAGTTGTTCTTCTTGAACGTCACTCGACTATAAACTAAGAAAAGGTCGAAAAGTCAAGTTAGTGATTATATTTGTTCTAAAACTCCATTCATTTTTTACCCAATGTCATTTACTACTGTAATATTGTAAAATGTAAGTTCTACAATTGATTAACGTATTCTACCTAAAGATAGCCAATCATATATTCAGAGTGTTTGGTTCTGCTATTGTCTGATAGATGGCGCTAGTATCTTCCAGGGTTCTTTTTGGTATGCAGTATACGGTTAGCTATCTACTATAGAACTGAGTGTATTGTCTGGAGATCTTATTTTAATCTATATGTACATATTATTCAATATATTTTGATTTAAATGGATGTGATTACGAATTTCATTATGTTCGTTATCAAAATTGATTATCGAGTATCTTTTTTTGTCAGGTATGAATGATCAAATGTTTATTTGTCCTAAACTTTAGAATAAAATTTGAAGTTGTGTTCTTGTATATAATTATATTATAATTGATTGTTGGGATTAATATATTTTAATTACATATCGAATTTATTTGTTTACTATCTTAAACCTTACCGTCGTATAGCTCATTCGTTTTTCGGAGAAAGTAATGCAATATTCAAAGTAATGCAATAGTTGCTTTGACAAGGGATGTTTTTTATCCAATATTTTAATGCAACAATAAATTCGTATCAAATGTGTAACCAGAATCGTAAGAAATAATACGTGAAGTA